AGCTCTCCTTCAACCTACACAATACAGAAGACTAAGACGAACTTGGCCAAACGACCTCCAGGAAAACTGAGGCGTAATCGATGGATTACAGCTCTTCAAGCCAACTTAGTACAATAGAATAATTATTGTACATGGCAGCAAATTAGCTCATAGAATGCAAATTCAGATTGCTAATAAATGATAAAAAAAAAAAAAAAATTTGCTCCGCCCATCAAGCATGGTATAAAAGGCGGAGCCCCAAGCTCGCAAGTGTAAGTGATCAAATTCAGTTCAGAGCAATCGGTCATCAGAGTCATCAATTCTTCACTGCTACCAGACAGCTAACGCAACCGCTGCAGCTCTCCAAAAACCTTATTCTGCGACCAGGCAGCTAACGTAGCTGCCGCAAGTCTCCAGGGACCAGGCAACTCAGGCAGCTGCCACAACTCCAGCAACCGACCGTGGGCAGCTGCTCCTACCGGTGCGCGCAGCACGACATCACCAGCCAGACAGGCCAGCTGAACGGCCACAAGACTTGGCCTACTACGGAGGAGCGAATTCTGCCAGCACTTGCAGTGGAACAAACTGCCCTTTGAGGGTCAGCCAACGTTTGAACATTCCACATAGCTTCGTAACTATTCTGTAAATTCAATTTGTACAATTTAATATATACAACTATTACAGTTCTACGTGGTTGTCATTTAGAACATAGACAATCCCACAATTCCTTAGCTCAGATTATTGAAACAGCGATCCAAGAGGAAAGTGAATTAAAGTCTCAGAGATATAGAAATCACCAACAGAACCCTCAATGGTATCCTATAAACCTTCCTGTAACACAAGAGAGGATAGGAAGAAGTCATCCTAGTGGGAGTCAGGAACCTTCTATATAGCAAGAAGTTACGGCCACTTCTGCGCTTGAAGCCAGGGCATATAGCAAGAAACTGTAATAATGCATCACAATGTCCAATGCGTGGCAAAAAAAAAAAAAGGGATATGATAGCACAGTGTTATCAGGGAAACTGGACATGAGGTGGATCCGGCAGTAGGGTTTCACATGCAATGAAAGAGGCTGCATTCGAAATCCATCACATGAGAGTGGAAACACCCCTATTCAAAAGGCTGATGAAGACCTGGAAGGACACTTTGTTTGTCGCAGAGAACAAGCGGAGGAAAAAATGTATATACAGTAACTCTGCGATGCGAGGTATATCATTTATGCAATCTTCGGACGGGACGCCCAGAGATGGCATAACCCATTTGAGCTCTATGTAACTTGCCCCAAGTTCACAGTAGAGGCGGGAACTGGCTTAATAGATACAGGCATGCAGATTTCCTTAGCAAGAAGGAAAAGTTTAAAGAAACTCCCAAAATAAAATACTGTCGAGACCTCCGTGACAATGCAAGGAATAACAGGAAACAGTAGAAGTTTAACACAAGGCATTTACTTGGAAATTAATGAAAGTAAACCATTATTATTTTATATCGTGGATGAGCTACCGCGTGGCGTTGATGTACGTACACTGATCCCAGGTGCAGGATAAAACATTCATGTTTCTGATGCAATACCCAGGAAGGGACTCCTCAACACGGGACTACCCGTAACTACTTGTAACTTGCCTCATCAGCATACCATCAAAATGGCTGCGAAGGGATTGGTCAGAAACCTATTCACATGTAGCTGCTAGTAACATAATACTATTCAGCTGACCAGGGACTTCATTCATTTCTGAAGTCTACATCAGGTTCGCTACACTTCTTCATTTCAAGTGCTTAAGGATTTGAACACTAATATACACAAATATTAAAATTAAATCCTTGAAAAGTGTTCCTGTTCCAAAATTGCTTAGTGAACTTTCTAATAATAGTTCTTCACAGTTCTCCTTTCACCTGTGCGAAGCCTTCTTAGCGGCAGATATTCCTCTGTGGAAACTGACCAATCCTACTCTCAGAAACTGCACTATATGCCAGTATTACTACAGAGAGAGCCAGTGAATTAATACTACACTTATAACAACTAGGTGAGACAGAAACTAGACTGAAGAGTAGTTATGCAATGGCACACAGAAGTCTGGAAACAGCGAAACTGGATAACTAAAAGAATTATGAGACCAGTATTTGTACCAAAAGTAGAGGTAGGTCAGCCGAAGCTGGTGGGATGGCTGCGGTACATAACTTGGTTTATATACTCCAATGTGCAGACAGAATGCAAACATCACACCAACATAGTAAAAAGCATGACACTCCAATATAATATCTCTCAGTGAACTCTGACATCCCAGTTTAACTCTCCTTTATTATGTTTAAAGAAACGATGTGCACTACAATTGACCTCAGTCAATTAAACTTGGATCTTATGGACCAGCACAACACAGATGACCTGCTGTTAAGGAATACGACCATCACTGGGCTTCACAGCAATATTCTACACAATCGAAAATCCTATTACTTTTAAAAAACATACTTTAATTACTGTTTTAATCCTTACAACACAACACATGCAGGTCATACATGTGAAGTGTTGGTCACCTTTTGAAAGTGGCCATCACTGGCTGAAACATTCAAATGCTTCATTTTATTATTTAAAATCACTGCTGAATTTGATGGGATTTAATCCTAATTTTACTTATTGTACCTTAGGCTGTTTTAAAATGCAAAATGTTCTCTTCCAGAGTACCGCGATATTGCTGCCTTTATGTGTCACATGCAACAGCTGGCTAAGTTCTTCATGAACATAAGAAAATATAATACTTTTGTGGTGGGGCAAGTGTTCCTGGCACTGACATCAGTCATCTGATAAAGGATAAAGACCTTGGAAGTAAAATACATTCAGAATATAAAATAACAATTCATAAAAAGGTAAAACTGAGGAAAGAACAAGATCTTACATAAAGCAGGACAATGGTATTGAAAAATGCGAATGGAAGACAACAGGATTCCAGAGATGATGTTAGGAAGAAGCATAAATATAAAACCCATGGAAAGGCCAGAATGAGATGGCAAGACACGATCAAATTACAAATATGAATGTGAGGAAAGACTGAATATTGGAGGAAACAGGAAGACTGAGAAGTTCTCTGCTTAAAATCATGGTGACAGATATGTCTGGTATGCTGCCAGAAGTTCCCCACATCTTCAGGGAACAAACCATAACAAGATTTATATACCTATGGATACTAGAATCAACAGAAAAATAATTCCGTAAATTCCATAATCAAAGCTGACTGGATGAAAATTATAAATCATTTGAATAGTTCTGGATGTTCATAATAACCATATTTGCAACAACAGTAAAATGTTACTTTCACATTTAAAACAATAATTTCAAATTTGTTAAACAGAAGTATCATGACTGTCACTGGACTAGCTTCGGTAAATAAGGGTCACAGCTTGATAATGCTGCATGAATAAGAGCAATGGCACTTAGCTTCACAACTGTGATGGTATCTAGGTCGAATGTTACTGGCATCATTATGCTTCTGTAACGCCTACGAGAAGGGCGTCCAGTCCTTCAAACGGTCCCCTGCAATGAACAAAACACAACTGTTATTGTTATCACTGGTTTAATGTGTCAGAAGGGCACAAAGAGACACGGGCAAATAAGTTATAGTCACATAATGAGAAATGAGACATGACAGCTCATGGAGGGAAGACACAATTTACAATAAGAACAATTCACATTCCATCAACTGCTTCATATTCATTGTTAATCCTCTCATCACAATACTGACAGCTCCGTTGAGTAACAAACTTAAAAATAAACCTTAGAAAACAAGGGATAAATGAGTGATGATAAGGCCACAACAGACAAATGGTTCAGGTAAGGTCACAGATGGATAAAATGAGTTGTTATAAGGTTAAAAAGGACAAATGAAGTAGTTCATATTGGAACAAATGAATTATGATGGGATTACAGATACAGATCCGTATATACAGTGCTGTCACATCCTGTGGATGGAGGATGGATATGTTGTTGTGTGCAACTGACTGGAATGTAGGAGACTCTGGCATATCAGTACGCTTAAGATTGGCGAATGGATTTACTGATTACTCATGCACAGACTTGGAACTACGAGTAATTACAGTGCCACCGCTAATCTCCAGTTATTACAAATCACTGCTGCAAACACTAAGTCTTCTCAGTCTGCTGTATCTTCAATAGCCATTCCCTAGTAACAGATCTTAACTATACTCCACACCAACCTCCTAGTCTTCCCTTCACAGACTGACTGCCCACTGTCAACTCCGGAACATGACTGTCGGCAACACTGATTCTCAGATTTCTAACTCCTTGGTGCAGACCGCGTAGGCAATACCATCCCCCCCCCCTGATGTGTAACCACTCCCACAGGAATGTGTTTAGCAAGCCCTTGCGCAGAAACGGCTCTAGTACACCTGCCCATCTCACAGCAATTGCAAAGCCACTAAAGTAATCTGAACTCATGCTAGGCTGCTGACTATTCTCTTGCCTGGACCACAATAAGAACTGCACTAAATCACCAGCTCATCTTGGGTCTCTGACCTTGGGCACAGGATCAAGGCAATGAACACTGTTTCTCATTTATGAAAGACAAGGTTTGTGGTGATATTAGTTCAGCAGTTTCTTCAAGATGGCTGAGCCTTGTTTTGCAGTGTGGCACAGAACTGTGGTGGCATCCACTAAAATTACAAGCTTGGAGCTACTATCCAAAGAAAAAGTTCAAGTCAGTCCAACACCTGTTAGAAAGCACGGTAAGTTTGTGTTATCTTTTTACAGTATTCCTATAAATGTGTGCCTGTACATAAACTGATGTGAGGGAATCAGCGACTGCACTCTCGTTAGGGGGGACGGGCACAGTAGTCTCGGAGAAAAGTTCCATCCGCTCTACTCTGGCAAGAGTGTGCATATTTAACAGTGCTAATGACTCATTCCACTATCAACAATCTGTGAGAAATGTTATCAGACTCACGCTGATCACCCCAGTTTCCTCGATGACTGAACGCCCTGTACTATCTCTGGCATTTTGGCAAGGCAAGCCCAGTGGCAGAAGTACTGTCACATCACAAATAATGTTACTATAACATAAAGCTCACCAAATGTTTTAACTTTCTTGTTCAAAGCCTTGTAGTTTCTCAGGAACAACCTCGTGTTGTTCTCCATTTCCTCAGAGTGCTCCAGGCAGCGTTGATCAAACATCCCTGCAAATGTAAAAAGGAAACAGCTACATATTTAAAGAAAACATTTTCACAAGGAGTTGGGATAGCTCAGTCAGTATAGTGATGGGCTATGGACTAAATGGATCAGGTTCAATTCTGGGTAGTGCAAGTTTTCTTTTCTCCATAGCGTCCACACAGATTCTGGGGCACACCCAGCCTCCTATCCAATGAGTATCATGGGCACTTTCCCTGGGGGTAAAGTGGAAGGGACATGAAGCTGACACTGACTTTCATCTAGTGCTGATGTCAAGAAGAGTGCACTTGTACTCCACCCTCATATGTCGTCATGGCACAGCAACGAATTAAGCACAGAGATAACTTTACGTTTTACCATTTTTAAAAGGCAGGGACTTGGGACAGTGTAGTTGGTATAGCGACTATCTATGTGCTGGACGACCAAGGGGTCGGAGTTTTAGACCTGGTAGGGTCAAAAAATTTTCACTTCTCCATGTTGTCCAGAAATTCTGGCAGAATTGATTCACGCAGGAGGCAAAATATTACGTTCTAAGATCCATAAGCTAATTTTTCTTTATTGCTAGTGGGGTGGGACTAAGTCCCTTGTACTGCGGCCACTTCTGGCCTATTGTACCAGCCGCAGATGATAGGTGAGGGTGACTGTGGAGCAATTGGTGGAATGAAGATTGGCAGGGGAAACCCTCTGCCCTCTGACCTGTTATTTGGAGCTCCCCAGATAAGGCAACCTATAACAGACCTGGAATGGCCATTTGGCTGTCAACATCTGAAGGTGAAAAGAGACAGGATGAAGGCCTCATACAACCATGTAGCCAACTGCAGCATTCTGGGAAGGGAATTAAGTCTGACTGCACCACCAGACCAGGACCAGAGGTAAGTCACCTAAATTACAGCCATTCCATGAAGGCCCTCACAAGGTGGTCACCTGGATTAACAATGTAATCTGCAGGATCCACTCAACCCATAGCAAAAATGATGACGGTATACATGGACAGACCAGGTCTGTATCTAGAGGCTACTCAGGATGGCAGTATCACTGGAGATAAATGAGCTGCAAGGGCACGGACTGGCATGCATGTGCCTCCTTTTTTTGAAATAACTGTGTTGGTAACTTGGTTCTTAGGTCATTTAGCAATGTTGTACAAACTGCTGAAGTTGCTTAACACTTAATAACATGAGAATGAAAGTTGAAGTGGACATGGCCTATCTCAAAACACTACTCTGTCTTTCACAGAGTGCACACAGAGAACTAAAAAATTGTTGTGGTGGAAGCTGTCTGTGGTCTTCCTCAAATAACTGAAAACATCAGGAAACATAAAAACATGCCTCAATGAGAACAGGGGGTTCTGTGCATCAGAAGGGGATAACCTGGTGGTCTGCAATCAATAGTGGGCATGCATAAGAGCAACATATTTCCCTGGGGGAGGGGGACGCCATATAGAAATGAAGACATGCATGTCATCAGATTAGACTGGAAAATCAATGGATAGAGCGTAAAACCTATATTAATGTTCTTCGATTTATGGTTTTCCATCATTTAATGTTAATGAAATTTTTTCTTCAAATCCACTGGTCTGAACAGAAACCTCAAATGGGGGTTTCACTGTTTATTTTTTGTTACATACAATTTCTGAGACACAGATGTACTCATTTAACTCACCTCGAGTATCAGACTCACTTTCCAGACGAGATTCAATGAAGGCAGAGAACATGGCTGTCTCAGTAAACCACTCCAGGAACAATCGGATGCTTTCAGATGTAACAGCTTTAATGAAGGATTCCCTCTGAAATACAAGAAGCTCTCATGTAATAAAAACTGGCAATTTGTGGTATTCTGGTCATCGAAATAACAATGAAAATAAACCAGTAGAATTGGTTACATCGGTTTTATTTAATAAGTGTGGTTGTTCGTGGCACACTGTAAAAACAACACAGTGCACCATGAACAACCACAGGACGATATCAAAGAACCTTCTTCTCAAGAAAGACAGGCGGCACAAGTTCAGCCCCCATCAAGAGGTGACAGAGAGGACATGAACCCATTTGCTTTATAAATTCTAATTTAAATAACAAAAGTTTTAAAAAATTTGAATATATCAAGACAGCCACTGTAGTTGTGAAAACTTTGGATTTTGTATCCATTTATGTATTGTCAACATTGCATGTATATATTGTGACATGCCTAACCGTTGCTGGGCAACAGGAGGTGGAACGATTTACCACGAAGACAGACTCTGGATAAACGGTCAGTTGCCAGGTTACGCAACAGTAAGGAAAGCGGTGTTTCTCCATGCCGTGCCAAGTAGAGCTGAAGTGAGCTGAGCCGAGCCGAAGCATGCTGGTTGCTACACAGCAATAAACAACTCTCGGCAGCGTTGCCCAGCAACGCCTGTAAACACGGAGTTTACGCAACAGTGAAGTGATGTGGGTTTTCCATTGTCTGACTGAGGGTTTATAAAGGAGACTGGAATGCGTAAGGAGGAGTTGAAATGTAGCAGCTGCCAAAGCCAGTTAGTATTTGGAGTATGAGTGGAAGTTTAGCAGTCACCGAATCAGGTTGTATCGAGTGCATGGCAGTGACTACAGCAGGAGAAGCAAGTGTGATACTGCAGATGGCAATAGTTGTGAAACTGTGAACTGTGTAAATGTAAGAGCGAAAGTTCAAAAAGTCACTACATCCAGAACAGCATGAAGTTATTTGTCGCGTTACATACTCAACACGTGACAATATATTTTAACATTCAGAACACCCATTGTAATAGTGGTTTCCAAACTGTGTTATGTCCCTCTCATGATGGTCTCTAAGGACTGAAACATGTAAGGGTATGAAGATTTGAAATAAGAAAAGCTTCACCAGTCACACTGGACGGAATTGTTCTATCTTTGTGGTTTTAGTCGAATAAACTCAATTTCAGGTACGACTCATTGAGCTATTCTGTTATCTTGAACGTATTGTTACAGTTGGCTAGCAAGCTTCAATTCACACTGGTCCTCTTTGCCTTATCACATGGCATCATGCTCCTCCCTACGCTGATGTCAAATCTGCATGATTCTGCTAACTAGGCTTATCTCCCCCTCCCACAAGTGAAGTTCTCTCTTTTCCTGCAGAGTGCGTGATGATGAGGACTACAGTGTCAACAGAACCAGAGATGATGGGCACTGCCTGGCTTACTTGAAGGCCAGCAAGAACTGAGACACGTCTGCTTTACCCATCATTTTTACTTGTTGACATGAAACAACCCTTACACTCTAATGTCTTATATCTACGTGCATCCCCTTTCTGCAGCCTAGCATTATAGCACTCATGCAGCTCAAACCACAGGACCTCATGAAAGTAATTTGGGTTTATGCCCAAATTATAATTCTGCTATAATCAAAGTGTCATAAAGTACATGCAAGGCTGTTTTATCTGGCCACATTTATGGTTCTCACAATGGTGACCATAAAGTTTACCGCCTTTAGGGGTGTAATGGTGCGTAGTTTGGAAGATAGATACTGACATTTTGAAGGAACATATTGACTTCATCTTCAGTGCATAATCTGGATGAAGATAGCCAAGTTCCTCCTAAATGTCTGCATTCAACTACCAGATTACACGGCATCACTTCCGAGATGCCTGTAGCTTTGCTGTTTATTCCTTTCCATGATACCTTTCACAAGGGGTCTATTCACCAGTCCCACGTTAAATCAGAGCCCCTGACTTGAGTGTTCCACTACATACCTCAAACACTTTCATACTATCCTGCTGGGTAACAACATGATTACGATAATGTCCACACACTTCCACAAACATTCGAACAAACGCTTCAGATACAAGGACATTTCGTGATGCATCCCATGGCTGTGTGGTGCTGGTGACAAGCTGAAGCGCAACCTTCAAGCAACGACGCAGCCTAGATGGCAGGATACTTGCTTCATCTCCAACACCCTGCACAACTCGTGACTCGTCCAGATCTACCATTATGCTCTGTAATATACAAACATTTTAAGTGTGGAATGGAGAGTGGAAACTATTACCAAGGCAAATGGTCTACCTGGTGCCATTCCTGGTATCATGTACACTGCAATGGGCACTTCAGGACACAGTAAAATCTTCACAATACCTGCACTCCATGTTTCATTACATCCCTCTAATTTATATAATCCGTTTCAGTCCCTTATCTTCTCTACAGTTTCAATGGCTAACATTCCTGTACAATACCTACCATGTCATTTTGCATTACTCTCCTTTTGAGTGGGTCAATGATTCTTTCTAGCAGTGCTCTACTCTGATAAGTCAGACACCATCTTGAAACCACTGCTTCACAGTTTAGTCATCACTAACATTTAATGTGCTGCATGGGACTACACTGATACTGCAATTGTGTGTTGTGAAAACCTGTAAAAATCTGTACTTTGATGCTGTTTGGAGGCATGCCCTCTGCCAACTTCTCTGTCAAGTTGTCAACCTCTCTCCAAGTAAAAACGAAATAATATCCATCCCCACTGGCACACAAATCAATGCGTTCCAATATTACATCAACATCAGCAACATATGTGTAATCACCATCTGTGACTTTCGTGCTTTGTACCATGATACTAGGTACTGTAATAACAGACAGTAAGAGTACAAAGAAAAACCCTGGATTTGGGTTGACAACACTTTGCCTCCTTAATGCTAGAATCTTATATGATATGACCAGGGCCCGGATTTTGATGATGTCATATTTTTTTCCCCTTGTATTCTATGCAATGCCAGTAAAAATATAAATCCCAAAAATGAGCTGCTCGTTACAGAAATGTAACTTTTATTGGTCATTTTTTCGATTTGGGGGGTAAGTTTTCAGTAATTTTTTTGGCTTTTAGGGTACTTTTTGTCACTTCAGCCATTTTAGGGAATTTTTCTTCGTATGTTTTCAAAAACGTGAATAATATGCAAGTAAAGTGTTCTTTATCTTTCTCACGCCTCTACAAAGGCAGCCTGCAGCTGCACCCCAAGTTCCTGCTACCACAGTATGCAATAAAAAGTTGTAATAATGTCCCCTCCTTTCCGTTTGTTTTGTGGAAAGTGCTGACATTACATATCATAAAACATTTTAAGCTGGCAGCAGGGTATGACAGTGGTCACCAACACTGCGGCCCTTTCCAAGTTCTGTGCAAAGGAATTTGCTTAGTTACAAATATTTCTAGTTGGAATCCCTTGCTTTTTATGACATATTGTTGCTCAATAAAACTCTGTCTTCAGTTTCTCGCCCCTGATCGTACAGACAAAGATACAGTTGACGAAAGGTTCTCAGTGTGAAAAGTTCAGTTCTGTGTTGCACTAGAGAGATTCACCTTCACCTTTGAGAATCTCCATATGTTAACTGTTATCTATTGCAACTCTGAATGAGGTGATACTTAAATATTGAAATATACCGTATACGATGGGGTACCTAAAAGAAACCGAACTACTTTTGTGGGCAGAGCTTTTGTAGTACCGCGTTTTGCCGCTATGAGCGCATAGAGCTAACATTCCTGAGTCGATAAGCCGACTACCGTTGCTTCAGAAGGTAAGGACTAGTTTCGGCAGAGTTTATAGTGACAACTGTTTTGTGTGATCGTCGTTTTTGCAATGGCTGATTTTCGTGAACAGCGTGCGGCGGTGAAATTCTGCTTTTTGCTCGGGAAAAGTGGAACAGAAACTCTTGAAATGTTAAAAACGGCGTACAAGGACGATGCTATGGGGAAAACTCAAGAGTTTGAGCCCTCCCATGCCTCCCTTCCCTATATTACATAGCTCATTTGCCGACTGACTCACTTTGGGCAATCGAGGCAACAGGTCCCTCTAAAACACTGGAACTTATACTCCATTTTGCATGGCATCACATTCTACAAAAATGTAATATTAAGTTTCAGCATATTATCAAGGATTTCATNGGCATCACATTCTACAAAAATGTAATGTTAAGTTTCAGCATATTATTTCAATTCAGATGCTTTGAAACCAAGTTAGGAAATGCTGTGCTGAATAACACAATCATAAACAAAGCACATTCTTCATATAAATGTTGATGTTATCACTGTCAAATACTTCTTTCATAACCACATTATCATAAAATACATGTTTCCATCTTATATTTTTCAGGGGACCCTGACACCAATAAAACTGATCTTCACACACAAGACCTGAGACAAGTACTACCAAAGTAAAAGTCAAATACTGGCATGAATGGTTTCAGAGAACTCCAACCTCTGAAGAGACACATACCTCATCAACTGGTCCAGGCATCATGCTTGCATCTCTACCTCTGAGAATGCCAACAATATATGGAGTTGGTGAAGAGCAGATATCCAAAAGAGAAGTTGGTAGAACTGGAATCAATGTGTGCTGCCATGAGAATGGGTACAATATTGACTGCAGGGCTTCTACACAGGATGACAGCCGGCTGTGAATATAAAAACATGTTGAAAATCGATAACTCAATGGACAACCATCACTAATTAATTTAAAAAGAAAGTGTTTATCGGTCTGTTGTAGTATCAAGGCATGTTCTGACCAGTATTTACCTGAACTGTTTTAATGTAAAGAGGGAAGAAAGAAAGTGAGAGGAATGACAACAGGACAAACAAATAAAAACAACTAGCAAGGAATACAAGAGAAAGGAAAGGAGACAGAAATACAAGCATTCATATAAGAAATGGAGAACTCCCACTGAATTTTCAATGAACATTCCACCAGTAAATTTATATTTCAAATAACTCAAACAAACATATCAGTCCATGGACAGAAAAGAGATACTTCATTCGTGCTATTAACTTAATGATGGACAGATTCCACACACAGTGAAGACTAATACATACACAAAAGTATACCACTTGCTGTTCTGTTGCTATATACATCAGCAAGTAGTTACAAAAAGGAGCAGAAGATGGCAGCAATAAACATCAGTGGAAGGTATGACCACCTTTGACGAAAAGATTCCACAGCACACCTCTACACAACATCACCACTTTATAGTATCATTCTATGAGTTTAATATCTCAGTTTAAATGCACCTGTCTTTCAATACACTTTTCAAGCTCATCAAAAGCATATTCAAAGTGTCATGAGGCATAAGTGGGGACCACAGTAAAGTAAGCAGAGTGTGATCAAGAATGATGTTGACAACTGCAACGTTTTCCTTTGAATTTAAATGGGCTTTCTGGTACTACAAAATAAATATTTATACATCACTGTCTCCTGCACGGAGTCATGGGCACAGTCAAGACATTCCCATGGGAGGCAACAAGCAAATTTGCTTACAAATTTACACTTAAGCAGTTTATACCTTCATTGACAACCCCAAACTACTCAGAATAGAATAATTATTTTAATTTCTGGTATAATTAGTCCTTTATATCTTTTTCCATGATTTCAGGGAGTGAGAAGGAATAGACATCTGTTCGCACCTTCCTGGCAGCCTAACGCAAGCAGCCCACTACAGGGATATGTACAACTGTATGAAAATGAAGCATAATGTCATACCAATTTGTTCAGTCTCAGTGCCAAACAATTTGCTATGCTGGATTTGAGGTTCTTACTATAGTGACTATAAAAAGTATGGTCTTATGGGCCATAACACTGTGTACTCTGAGAAAAGCCTAATGTTTCGGATGAACACATTGCCTCAATCTTCACGGTTGGTGAGTAAGCCATGCAAGAAACCAGCGAGAAGCAAGCAGCAAGCACGGATCTCTGAAGAGTAGTTTTTTGGAACATTAACACTGTGTAGTTTGGGAAAAGCCAGACATGTCAGATGAACATAATGTTTCCATGTCCAGGACTAAGCAAGTAAGCTAAGTAAGCTAAGCAACAAACCAACACTAAGCAGGCAGGAACCAGATCACAGTTTTCTTCAGAACACTGGGCATTTTCTAAATGACACAGCACTGCAAACTAGTCTTCACTTCGCTGCAGTCAAATACTATGAAATTTAGTGCTAAAATCTACTGTAAAATTCATGTTACAGATACAATTATTTATAGTAGTACATTGTGTGTACTTCCCATGACATTAGTTCAGCCTAATATCAAAGTTTCAAAAATTCATCAGCATTTTCCAAGCTTTTATTTCACACCAGCAAACATGTTTTGTGGTCAAGGGCTATTGTTAGTGCCTTGATATGGCTAGACCACAAGTCAAACCAACAAGGATTACATCTCCTAAAATCTTCTCATAACTAATTCATTAGAGCACTGAATGCAGTACTTTAACTGTCTTCATTCTATAACAGTTTCAGATAATGGAAGACCCTGGAACTTAAAATTGTTTAAAAAACTGCATTTAGATAACAGCATTCATTAAAAATTATGTCACTGCTTCCCTATTTTTCAGACAACTGCAGTTTGATCTATATCACTCATAAAACAGACATCTCTCTATACACAGAATTTGTTTAAATATTTTCAATGTAACACTTGTTAATAATTCCATGGGAAGTCTCTTCATTTGTTATATAAACTTGTCCTATGTCATGTATAATGATCCATGGATGTGAAGTGAATAAATAAATAAATAAATAAACTTTTATACTATTAAGGTCCCCTGTTTTACCCCATATTCTTTACATGTCCTTGATTTCAAATGATGTATTGAGGCCAATGTTTGATGTCATCTCCCATGAACAGCATGTACAAATAGTTAATCGTAAACTGTCTCCTTTATATAGTATACTGCACTTCATATACCTACTTTAAAATAATATCACCACCCACAAAATAAACATCATACATTGAAACAAACTACTGCTCTCTCATCTGTGGCCTACTATATAATATTCAAGCAATGTATCAATGATCAACAGTTCTTTGCTATGGTATTCTGATATATCACATTTTCAGGCCTTTCCACACACCACGGAATCAGTTTTTTACAGGTGTGCATGCGTACATGTAAATGGATATCCAAATTCCCATTTCTTTGCCAGCTTATTAAAATGTTTTTCTTGTCTCCTTAGATGGAGGCATCAGGTTCCTCTGAAACATCAATATCTATCACAATACTCCCTTCATGTAGATCTCTATTTACCCCTTAGAGGGACAGACCAAGTCTCTCTCGCTCTTCCCCCCACCCGCACGCACGCACGCGCACACACACACACACACACACATGGCATTACAGTGAATTACCTAAGCGAGTTGCTGATGAGAATAACCCTCCTTTCAAGCAGAAGTGACCCAAAGAGCTGCAGCAATGCAGACACTGGCAGAGCTGAGAACAGCTGAGTGAGGTCATGTTCCTCGAGCCTTGAATCCAGAGGCCTTCGCACGAATGTTGTAACCATACTGCAGACAGGTCCTGCAAGAACCACAGCCACACGTAGCTCTGTACAACAGCACATGTTTCAAATTGTACAAAACTGAGAATATTGTCACATATTAGGGCTGCGACCATTAGACGGGGTATGGATTGGATAATTGGATTTACTGACCGCTTGTATGCACCAGTCAGAACTAAATGCAATTACGTTATTACTGATCTACACACTTTACATTTCACCACTGCACACAAACTAGTGTTCTCAGTCTTCACTAACTGTTTCCTGGCAATGTATTTTAAAACAGGAAATATAACAGTCTCACAGAATCACACACTCCAGATATCATTATACTACAGCACACGTAAAGTCTTCTCTTCACTGCCGGACTTTCATCTGTCACCTGAACACTCCTGATTCCTCCATCATCTGCCAACTACCAACTGCAGAGCTGCCAACTGCCAACTACCAACTGCAGAACTGCCAACTATCTTGTTGCCATCTCTTCTCAATCATCTTTGACTGCTATCTCAAGACTCCCTCAATTCTCATTCTGTCTGCCTTGAATCCTCGTTATATAGCCTCAGGTTGGCCCCAACAGAAAACGCCATTTCCTAACAATTCCTCTATTGTCATAGAGGTGTGTTTACCTCACCGTTGCATAGAAAGGGTAGTTCTTCTATTGTTGCATGTTCATTTCTATGGGGCCCTGTTTATGAACATCTACTCTGGCTCCGCTAATCCGGCTTTCAGGCATCATGTCCCAATATTAATACAGGAATCCTATTTGCAGTAGACTATCTGATTTCACAGAAAGCCATAAGCAGAAGAAATACAAATACAACTTAGAATGGTATTACTTAGAAGAAACAGTTGCTGGTTATCCGAAACCCCTGAGGAAGGGGGCCACGAAGAAAATGAAAAGTGGGGACACTTTTGCTGACAGAAGAGAAAATGTCCTGCTAATGGGCTGGGAAGACAGAGGGTGGTTCTCATGATGTCTGCATATCATGACACATCAATGGAAAAAATAGTGACCATTCAGAGAGGGGGGCAGCATACAGAAATTCAAAAGCCAGTGTGGGTACTTGAACATACAAAGTGTGTGGGTGGTGTAGGTCACAGTGATCATTACTGAGCAACATATGCTTTCATTCGTAAATCTCTGAAGTGGTGAAGAAAGCTCTTTCTGGTGCCTCGAAGTGTGCATTGTAAATTCATACATTTTTGTACAGCAGCCATAAGGCACAAATGGGAGTGAAACAAATGTCACATGTCAATTATCGACAAGCTCTTGCTGAAAATCTGGTAGGCGATGTGTGCGAGCCAAGAAAGAGGTCACGTCCGGGGTCACCTGAGAGAGAAGAGGGACTAAATACAGTACCTCACTTCCTCTACCACTCTGAAAAAAAGAAACACGAAGACTGCATTGGAAGGTCAAGGAGGCAAGAAAAGAAACATAATTGTATTGTTAAGACCTGCAAAAATCAACCGGCCATCTGCCCTGTCAAGAACTTCAAAAAGTTTTAGTGCAGGTCCTATAGTTTATCGGGTTTTTGTCGTCTGTGTACACAGAAGTGTAAGTGATAGTTATAAGAAGAAAGGAATATGCATATATTTTATACTTGAGAACAGCAGACAATTTTAGCCAGTGAAACTCTACAACCTCTCTCCACACTTGTCACACAGCACTACAAGGCAGAGAATCTGTCTTCTTGCATTGTACTGGTAAGTACATATTTTGCCTTTTCACTTTATGCCCTTGTTGTACCAACTTTCTGAGCAAAGCAGCTCCCTTAGTGGCTCTGCGAACATGTAAAATCCCTTGACGACCTGACTGCAGAAATTTTTCCAAACACGATGACTGGAAAGGGTTAAGCACTCTGGCAGGAAAAAGTAATAAGGAACAGATGAAAGCCTGCTTTGCAATATTTATGTGTAAAGCAAAGACAAAATTTTCACATGTTTTGCATGTTACGAAAATTAACTGAGAAAGTGTGCACAGAAAATCAACAAATCGAAGAATATGAGCATAGATTCTATGGACTGCCTTCACCTGCAATATTGTGCGTTGTATTGGAAGTGCTGAGTTTGAGACCCTGTCCAGGACCAGGAAACTGACAGTTGTACAGCTCCTTGATGAATGCAGTTTGCAGCCATTCTGGTTGACCATGGCGAGACTCCAGCTCCGCAAGAATCTGCACAGACAAACATTTTGACGCACTCAAAACGTTTGCATATACCAATACGGGGTATAAGAATATCAGATTATAAATAAAATTAAAGCAGAAGACACACTAAGCAGATTAGTGCAGTGACAACACTCAAAATTCTTTTCAGAGGTACCTGGTTCAAATCAAAGGTCAGATTAACAGATATTCAGACCATGGGTTTTGAAGGAAGTGAAATGCCATGACATTACTTCCTCCTCCCCATCCTTCAAATCCTTAGTTACTTAATGTTCTTCTTACCATCTTACTTAAGGATATAGATCCATCTTAACTGGATCAGTTATCCTAGCTCTTCCTTCACAGCTTCAGTGTCTTCACAGTTCTCAACTTGTCTCGTGTTCGCTGCAAACATTGCCAACACCTTCCTCACCCTCTCTCCCATCCATTTCAGACATAGCAGTGCATTTTAAACCTCTGGAGAAATCTGCTGCCATGGCCTTGATAGCATCTCTCAGAGTTCAGGGTTAACAGAAAGGAAAGTACAATCACTTGTCACTGTGTAGGGCATTTTTCTCTGTATCTTCTAACAGCATCAGTAGCATTTCTGTTATACTCTCCTAGCACAAGAAGCATGTCAGCTAATTCAGGATATAAATAGCCACTTTCCATGCTGGATTGTTATGTAATGTACTTTCCCACACTCAGACTGCTTCAGACTAACTCAAAATGTAACATATTTGCTCAATGCAAGACCAGTTCAGCAACAGAAACACCCATTTCTAATATATGCATGCAACAGTAGAACAACGGAGTTATGCAACCTGTTTCTAGGCAACTGCTCGGTAAACACACTTCTGCATAGGTGATGTCACACAATAGAGCGCAACCTGTGTTTCCTTTGTGTCCATGCAGCTTACGCATGCACCATGACATCACACCCAAACAGTGCTTAGCTATCACGTGACTTCTGTTTTCTGTGTTGTCCGTGTAATGGCTATATAACACAAGTCCGCTTGTACCTGAGATCTTTTAGTTGAGTTCCAAGGTTCTAGGGTGATTGAAAAGGAAATGACAAGAAGGCTTCATGCTAATTTTAAGTGCTAGTTTGTGTGACGAGATCCATTGCCAGGAGACGAATAGTGAAGACGGAGAATCCTGGTGTGAGTGCAACGGTGGACTGGAAAGTGTGTAGAATAGTGACAGCTTTATAATTGACTGTGATTAAGAGAACGTGTAACCAAAGTGCTAATAAATCCAATCCAGAACCCATCATTTTCATCACATGTACCACCTGACAAGTGACAATATACGGGTATCAGTGGTTATTTGTTTGCATTACAGCACTGCATTCTCACAATAAGACTGTCAGATACTGAAATCATCAACATGGTGTTTGGAGTCAAATGGATCTTTATAATTACCAAATAACAGAAACAAAATTCTCTTGGAACATTTGTTTTTGGCTTATAAAGGCCCTAAGGGTACATACTCATATGAACATTCTTGATTTTGATGTAAAATATTTCACGTAATAATGACTCTGTGCATGCGTGTATGTGTGCGTAGCATTCAATTTCTCAATGAGGACTCATACTCCTGGAATCCTTAAAAGGGGGAAAACTTGTCTTTTATTTGGGCAAATACAATATCAATCCATTTCAACATGACCCTAATATCATAGCATGAGCAGCATCAGATATTCTCAAAGGAAAATTAATATCTGTATCAAGAGTGAGAATTCTTTTCTGAATTTGATCTAAAAAATTCAAGATTCACAGTTGCCTATCCAATGCTAAGTAACGCCTGCACAATAAGCAGCTGCAGTACAGCCATACTACGTAATGTGCTGGAAGTGGTGTTCCCTGTGTGGATTGTGAAGAGAGTCTTGAGATGGCAGCAAGAAGAGTGAGACAGTGGTGTGAGATGGCTGCCAGCCTGGAAGTTAGTGGAGTGGAGTGAGTTGGTTGGTCAGTCGGTGGGTTCTTTGGTGAGTTGGAGGGCTGCTGTGGTTCAGTCCTCGTGAACTGTTATTGTTAGGAGCTGGCAGATGAGGCCAGGCAATTTGGGAACCCAAAGGAAGGGGAACATCTAACACTGGAAACCATGACCAGAAAACTGACGAAGACACAGCAGGATGGGGTGCGTGTCCTGTGGTGAATTAGCAAGAGCACTACAGTTACTTGTAGTTACAAGTTGTTTGTATAAGTGTGCAGTAAATCTGATTACTAATCCAAAACCCATCTACAGTCACTCCATGAATCATGACATTATCCTCTGCTACACATGGGTCTGTTTGGTGGGAACAGGCTGTACAAATGCTTTACAATAAATTACAATATATACAGACTTGCACAGAAACAATAACTGTGTAAGTGTATCAATGTTGTCACCACAACTACCACCAGCAACACCAATCATCCTTAGCTATCACGTTTCTTTGCTCTCCAACAGGATACCCACTGCCTACACAACCCAACAATTCTACAGGCACAACACAGACCTCATTAGTTACCAGATCAACCTCGTTCTGTGCAGACATATTTGCTCTGTGCTCCCTCACAGTCTCTCCTAGGGGCCCAGCCCTGAAGCACAAAGGAGCAGCAGAACAGACCTTTGTATTGTCAGCAAACTAAAGTGTTCCTAATGCAGCGGTCCTTGCTCAATTAAGATTTCATCATAACTGCCTGCAAGGAAGTGATACCAAGAACTCATTTTACAGAACAAATTGCAAGACTATGTACTGGTGTACACCTAGCCTTGCACCCATACAAAATAACAGTTACATTAAACTTTTGCAGAATCTCTGATTTTTTAATTGGGGGGCAGTGAGACTTTGGTTAATGTGCTGATAAGCTACAGACTGCAAGATCCCATTAAGAATGTTTGACATCCTTTATTCAAGTCCATAGTTGGTTCTGAGTCAGCCAGGCTTTCATCCAATAAGTATTACTAGCCAGATATAAGGAAACCTTTAACCTTTAAACATGCAATAGTATAAAACAGAATCATAAACTATATAAGATTAATGCTACTCTCACTATATATTTACCAACCTAATGTAAAAAAAGTTAGCTGCCTTTGAAGAACATTTTGGGTTACTGAGGTTAGGTTACACATGCATAGAAATTTTCTCAATAAAGTTTATGCTCCAAATTCAATGTGATACTGATAACTGTTTATGCATGTGAGTCCATTTAAATACCTTGTAGTAGAAGCCACTGGCTCTGAATGGACTGATAATGCAGTACGCCAGAGGCAAGCAGAGACTCGAACCTTCAGGCTGCACACGTCGGCAATAGCCAAACCTCCGAACTCCTGTCTCACTGGTGATCACAAGGGAGTAGCTCTGTTCATCATTCCCTCCACATCCTGGCTGTGATGGTGTGGCAGGTGGCGGCGGTGGCGGTGGCGGTGGCCAGTCTCTTGCATCAGGGAAGCAGAAATGCTCAATATGAGGAGGAACATCAGCCTGGACGAAGTAAGATAAGATACATATAAAGTCAACCCACTGTAACACATTCACATTCGCATTCAAACAGGTGCAACATATAGTTCAGCAAGGTTGCTCTTGTGATGGTGATTGTTGAGCTGCAGAAGAGGGTAATTTTCCAAAATGTATAAGAATGAATTCTTGTAATGATGTCATCATTAAAGAAAAACAAGTTGACGACAATTTCTTGTGTCAATATGTGGCATGTTCACTTTAGGACTACCCCATCCATGTTCTAAATGTTCAAATGACAAAATTATACCCGCTGACACATCCAAAGATGTGAAAATTTGCCTCATCAGTGAAGGACAATACAACTTAAAGAATTAACATGTTCCAAAATGTGTGTGCATATGTGGACTGCAAACTGTGATCTAAGTTGTTTATCATATACTGTAAGTTTCTGGATTATGGTTTTAGATGTCAGCTCATCTGAAGAATTCTGTGGACAGTTATTTGCTGAGTCTGTAACACTACACTTACTCAGGGATAAACTTCTCTGGACTCTGTATAAAAGCCTACTTTTAAGGCTGAAAAGTAAGCCACACAACAAACCAACAAGAAGGTTCATACCTGCTTCATGCCAGTTTCTTGCTTCACTTATTCCTCAGCCCTGAAGATGGAAGTAACTTGTTCCTACATAGCAATGGCTGACTTTCAACAGGCTACACAGCACTGTACCCCAGAAGATAGAACGCTTCACTGCCCTACCTGCTTTAATTCCTGAATTGTAGGTGTTTTACATGCCAGCACATTTTTGCTAGAACCTGTATTTATAATTCTCAGCTCACCAGTCACCCTCACATTCAACAGCAAATAGTCTGAGCTACTGACACAATCATTAAACAAACCACAAATAAGAAACGGGTAACATAACAAAATACTCACATCTATGAACACACACATGCATGCATGCACACACGCACAAACACACCTGTAATGATTTGGAATGTAAGGCAAAATGTAAAGTTATCACTGTGCCGAACTAATTAAGTACTATACATAAAGAAGTATAGGGGAGTGGATACACAGATCCACATTTTCTTGACCTGAGCACTACTGGGCAGTGAAGGATGAGCTTCATGTTCCGGCTGCTATATTCTTGGGGAAAGAGCCCATCGTATCCATTGTATGGGAGGCTTGCTTGGCCTCAGAGCCACCTGGAGAAAATCCGAAACCTATCAGGACTCAAAACTCCAATCCCTCAGTGATTCAGCCCACAGCCAGGCACTATACCAACTAAGCAGGTTAGCTCAACCAGAAACAGCAGACCTTTACTTTGAAGGTACCTACTTCAAGTCTTGTGAGAGTACTAGCTTTATGACTAATAAGATTTTCTTGTATCAGCCAAGGAAAAGACCATGATACTTTGATACACATAATTCTTTCAGCTGACGCATTCTCATTCAACATTACACAAAACATGTTCAAAATGAATCAGTTATACCAGCACCACTCAGGCACTAACGCCATTTTTCTGACAAGCTTCTACATGGTAAATGCATTCACTCACATCAAGAGGATATTTGCTTTTGATGTAAGGCACTTTAGTCTTCTTGTCTGATGGATCCAGATTCAGACCAACAAGGAGGATGCACTGGAACAGATGGGGGAATGCACTTGGGGTTGTAGCAGTGCTGCGTACACGGTGATACACTCTGCTTGATACACGTCGCACATACACCTTACGCTCCTCTGCCTGTCGTGTCAACTGCTCTTGTTGCTCAGCCGAGCTGGTGGAGATGTTGTCCTCGCCTTGTGTATTTGATTCCACGCATCTGGCAGCAGTCATTCCCACTACAACAAAATACAAATGCAGAAACTTTTATATACTGTCACATGTTAGTGACATGAGACGCAAGGTTTGGATTGGATTTACTGAAGACTTATAACTCCTAGCTATAAATAACCGTCTCACTGATTTACATTCTACAAATCACTACAGCATATTAAATCTCAGCCTGTTGTCATCTTCACTGGTTGTTACTAGGTAGCGACACCCAGCAACGGATGCTTCCATGCTCACATTCTTACTGACTGGCAACTGTCTCACAACTAACTCATGACTGCAACTGACCCAGTTTAGACAACAGCTTTCACTATATAGTCTCGGAATGAGCTGAAGATAAAGCACCGTTCATGACATCTCCTGTATTGTTGTGCACACATCTGTTTTGCGGATTCATGTTTACTGAGCAGTTATCTAGCAGGGGATGATTCCGGATTTCAGGTGGCATGTTACCATATATTATAATAAGCAAATAATATTGATTCATTGTTGTATTTGTAATTATGGGTATTCTGGGATGTGACATCACGTAGTGTGGTCAACAAGCACCAAGGTTTTAGAGGAACCCGTTGCCTCTATCTTCAGGGTAGAAGAATCCATCTACCCTGGTCCTTCTGTAACATTTGTACCAACCTTCCAGAATATCATAATCTTAACATTCATCCACATGGGAACCTCAAATCTCACACTTCTAATTGTGACAGGAGATTGGAGAAACCTGCATAATGTGGAGCTTCATAATTTGTACTCTTCTCCAAGTATAATTAGAATGATCAAGTCAAGGAGGATGAGGTGGGCAGGGCATGTAGCATGAATAGGGATGCATACAGTATATTTGTGGGAAAGCCAGAAGGAAAGAGACCACTGGGAAGACCAATATGTAGGTGGGTGAACAATATTAAAATGGTTCTTAGAGAGAGGATGCAATGATATGGATTGGATTGACCTGGCTGAGGATAGCTGAGGATAGCTCTTGTGAACACAGTACTGAACCTTCAGGTGCCATAAAATGCTTGGAAGTGCTTAAGAACTGCACAAATGGCGGTTTCTCAGGAATGGCTCAGCTCTGTGAGTGATACTATATACGTTCCTCTTCTACCCAAATGTGCTACATGCCCTTCCCATATTATCCTTGACTTTATCGTTCTACTTATACTTGGCAAAGTGTACAAGTTACGAAGCTCTTCATTACACAGCTTTCTCCAACCTTCTGTCACTTCGTTTCTCTCGAGTCCAAAAATTCTCCTCAGCACCCCCTTCTCAAACACCCTAACTCTATGTTCCTCCCTTATGTCAGAGACCAAGCTTCACACCCATACAGAACCACAGGAAAAATTACAGTTTTCTATATTCTAACTTTTATGTTAACTTTCATGCTTTCACAACATTAGAGGATATATCTTGAAATTCTAAACGTTGCAAAGGAAGAATGTAACTTTACTATTTAATGAATAGCTCGAAATAAGAAAATTACTGCAATCTTAATTTTAGTTATACACTTCCAAATGATGCTGCTTTAGATCTAGTGAAATATATTTATATGGATCACATAATTTACTGAATGTATAGTAGAAAGCCAGACGTTAGCAGGAAAGTTGGAAGGTACAGAATGAGATAGCTATAACATGCAGAGAATAATTTAAAACAGATAAAACTGAACAAACGGAGGAAAATGGCTAATAGAGAAGACCACAGAGTTGTCGTGACAGAGGCTGACATTCTTACAGGATCACTCAGTCAAGGAGAAAGTAATGTGAAGAAACATTGAGGAACATCCACTCCGTAGTTGTCGGCTTATCATTACTGCACATACAATAGCTATGCACATGTAGTGCCATCATGACCTTCAACATACACTCACAGTGGAAAGATTCTGATAAAACTAGTCTATCTAATCATGGCTGGTTACATTATTACCTTTCGCACCGTCGGGTGAATGTGTTCCCGCTGATTCTGCTTCCACTTTCTGGATTACCCTAGCAAGTGTTCCATCATCAGGTGTTGAAGCCTGAGAATCTGAATCGGAGCCAACTAAATCCAATGGACTTATTGGCATACCTTGCAATGGAGATCCAAATGCCTGATTCATGAGCAGCTGAATCTGTAACCAACAATTAACTCCTTAATTTATTTAATGCCACAAATTACTTAGTTCCAGTGGCATGAAGCTACTATGACTGGTGATGATCTACTTGACACCACTGTCCCAACATTAACCTGGACGCTTACACAAATGTCAACCTGTGAAATGCGTCTAGGGATAGACTGCTTCACTTCAAACGACAGATGGCATGATATGCTTTAGTTTTTACCATATACTGGATTAAGGAACTGCGGCCTCATGCACATTTCTGAAATATGAAAATCGAAGTTTCTACTTCTGTTAGAGCAGTGTGACAATGTTACAAATGTGGGAAATTTGGCCACATAAGTAAACTTTGTATGAAGGAACAACAGTGCTCCTCATGCAGAGAAGCTAAACAATGCCTGAATTATAACGGTAATCACACAGCAAACAGCGAATGATGCACAATAATTAAATAACAGAGGGAAGTCAACCAGATCATGGCTCATAGAAATGTCGGATTTTTGGAAACATGGCTAATTGTTGAAAAATGGTCATAACCCTGGCAGTTAAACCCTGTGTTCTCTTCAGGTACTGAAAGCCTGCAAGGGTATGTTGAACAGATTGGATGGAGCCCGGGTAGAAGGCAAAGGAAGATGACCATGGATAACAGCAGGACTCAAATATCTGAAACAAGTCCGAACAATGTAGAGCAAAGGAACAACTCTAAAGACCAGGCAGTGTTACAGAAATCTTTAGACGAGTTGGAGTCCATTCAGACGGAGGACGAAGTCAAGAACGTATTGGTGACGATAATCAATTTAGTGATAAACTCCAGGGACGCTAAAGCAATGGTAAGACACCTGTGGAAAGCCGTCTAGCTTCATGAGCAACATTTCAACGGAATTCAAAGGGAATCAACAAATTAAGATTTTTCAATGTAATTATAGTCTAAGAAGCTATGACAGAACAAGGTATTTATAAGAATGTGCTACAGAGGGCTCGATTGGCACGGGCTAGGCCATTTTTGTATACATATTCATTAAAAAAAAGGAAAAAAGAAAAGTACAACAGATAAAGAACATTCCTCTACAATAAAATATATTTAATAGGTTCACTCTGAAATTCTACAAAACAGAAATCCCATTCACAGCACAAAAATGGAGAACATTATCTTCTGGGATGTGTTACTGTGTAGTCTAGCAAAAGTTCACCGCTGTTTTGAAGGAATACGCCACCTGCAGCTTCAGTGTCAACCAACCAAGCAACTAGCAAGCAGGGTGCTCTACATGTCTTAATCTTCAATCCTGAAGATGGAGACAGTATTTTTCTCCAAAATATCAGTGAACCTCTACCAGACTACACTGTGTCACATCCCAGAAGACACTATCCAGCATACCTTAACATTCTTCACATCTGTTACTGATTCTTCAGCTAACACTGTATCAATTACAAAGTGGATACTTTTCAGTCCAGTGTGACATACAAGTTTACAATGCTTCAGTCTTTATTCACAGTCTTTTTTATTGTAAACCTGTAGGTCACACTGGACTGAAAATTATCCACTTTGTAATTAACAGTGTGACAGACCGGAATGAGACAAATCAAAAACTGTATCAATTCCTAAGTCCAGATATTAGAGTGAGAGCCACATAATTTCACTAGCCAATCTAAACAAGAATCATATATATATGTGTTCATGAGGAGTATGCAAGCACGATAAATATGTATCCTTCTCACTACATTAGCCTTGAGAGGGAAAAATGAAAGACGAACACAAAACAATAAAACAACATACAAGAAGGGACACGGTCACTACAACAATGCTAAAATGTGACATAAATAAAAGTAACATTTTTCAATCCAGTCATTTTGTTAGCACAGTAAACCTTCACTAATCTGGAGTTATTGGGGAGGAGAGGTCATCTGGATTAGTTAAGCAAAAGGCAGCTTAATGATGTTAAGTGGTGTTGATGGGGAGGGACTATACAGACTTTGTTTAAAAACTATGAAAAGACAATACATTTATTCATCAATAAGAGACTTATACAGAGGATTAAATGAAACTAATAACAGTTACCAACATAGAACTGAAGAGTCGGGATAGTGTACTCAGTATAGTGACTGGTTATGGACTGGATGACTGAGGGTTTGGAGTTTGAGTACTAGCAGGGTCAAGATTTTTCTCTTCTCCATGTCATCCAAACCAGATCTGGGGTCCACCCAACCTCCTATCCAATGGGTAGCAGAGGCTCTTTCCCTGGGGGTAAAGCAGCTGGGGAGCGACCCTGACCACTCATCTCCAGCCAGTGCTGAGGTCAAGGAAATGTGGATCTATACATCCACTCCCCCATACGCTTTCATGGCACAGTGCTAAATTAGTTAAGCACAGACCTGCTGGACGTCTTTATACTTCACAGCATAACGTCAAACTACATGCAAGTTGAGTCCAGCTTCAAGCTATCGTCGGACCATTCTCTGGTAATTGCAACTATAGTGCAAATGTGATAAGTAAATCAACTATCCCAACACTTATCACAAAACTCACAAACTGGGACAGTTTTCATACATACATAGATGAACACATGAACTTGAACAGAAGAACAAAAGACTCGAACAAACTGGACTAGGTGACTCAGTATTTTACCACCTTAACAAAAAAACTGCTTGCCCTTGCCAAATCGAATCCTCAGCCTCAAGCCTGTCACTACACCGACTGAAATCTTAGTCATCAGGATCAACAATTTTTTCCCCAAAGTCATGTGACTCCTTTAAAAGACTGTCAAAAGAACAATTTCACAAGTTGGCATGCCTGAGAGTGATATGATGCTAATCACAAGCATTTCCTGTCACTATCATGCTGAATGCAATTCACCCACAGATGAACTGTCACAAGTGGCCCATTACGTAATCATAATATTGGGACACTTTCATGATGTCAACCCTCTCACTAGTAATTTTGAACATGGCTGTACAGAACATACAAAAACACACACACTGTATGTAAGGAGTACAGTCTTCTGAATTGTAGTCCTGTGTAGCTTGTAGAATCTCAGATGTTTCAGAAGAACATATCACCTCCGTCTTTGGAGCTGAAGAGTAAGCCAAGCTAAAGTTGCCACTTGCTTCTTTTGGTTTCTTGACTGGTTTACTCTGCAACCCTGAAGATGGAGGCAATATGTTCATCCAAAACGTCAGCTCTCTCCGAACTACACAGTGTTACATTCCAGCAGGCCATATTAAACATAACCACTGCTGTGATAACTGCAAATTCAACACAACATCCAGTTTTACAGAAAAACCTCACTATACTGACATGCTACAAATTCTGATGAAATTTTATATTGAGAATTCTCGTACTTTCCAATTAATGTGGCCAATGAGGGCTTAATTTTTTTAAGGGCTAATAGTTTTTGTGTATATAATACTAAACAGTCATTGAAACAAACCTTTCTTAATTCAATTACTGATTCTTGGGAGTGCTTTTCCAGGAAAGAGTGGTAATATTTCAGTGTGTGCGCAGACATGGAAATTGACAAGGCACATATTTGCATGACATATGCATGTCAAGTAATCAAATGTCCTCATTTGTGCATGTGCACATATGTGTAGGAACACAAGATTTATTAAGAGAGGTGATGGCTTGCTGTATACTGAATTATGCCTTCCATACTAGAAGCATTCAGTATATCAACCACTATGTGACAATTCTGTAAAAATGCCATTAGCTTATTTTTAATAAGCACTAATGTCTTTATGTTGTTTCCTCACACTAACAAACCATATGTAAAATATATATATCACACAGAATATCAACCAAGAAATACTCAGCCTGATAAACCAGTCAAGATTTAGAAAGAAAGTGAAGATTAAACTATGACACCACTTCACCCACACACACACACACACACACACACACACACAAACACCAGTAAAGTAAGTGCAAGCACAAAAGACAAACCAACCAACCAAATGCCTGGAAAAAGAGTCCTTCTTGAGGAGCTAACAGTTCCACAACCATTCAAGAAATTCCCAGCCTTCTGCACAACCTTAAGGTTCATTATAATGATCACAACAGCCAGCCACTAGTTCCTACCCTGTGGGAGATGAATCCAGCTGACACCCTCACATTCTGTTTAAGACCCATTTTAATACTATCCTGCCACCTATGTATGCCTACCATGTATGTCTTCCAAGTGGTTCCGTTCCATCAGGTTCTTCTACTAATACTCTGTATTCATTTCTGATCTCGCTGTGTTACATGCCCCACCCAACCCCCATCATCACCATAATATCTGGCAAGAAGCCTAAGTTATGAGGTTCCTCATTATACAGTTTTCTCCAGCCTCCTATTCTTCCCCTCCCCCCAATGTGTCTAAATACTGCTCCCTAGCACAGTGTTCTTAAACATACTAAGTCTCTGTTCTTCCCTTAAGTTTCCTTACACAGAAAATTACATTAACAATAAACTCTTAAACAACACAAAAATGACAATAAATGTGCATCTCAGTTTCATTTTCACTACAGCCCAATTACGTAGTCTACTGAACTACATCCTCTACACAGTAACTTTACTTCTTTGGTGTCAGAAATACATTCCTTAAATCTGTCACAGCGTTTCATGTCACTTCCATCTACAGCATTTGCTGATACTGTTCTCTTTAATTGCACTTGAAAGATACAGTGCGTTCAATCAAGTGCGCGCCGCGGCTGCAATTTGCCGTGAGTNACTTATCTGCTTTTACCGGTTCTCACGGTATCTCCGCTTGCAGAATTCTTATATTTTTCTTCTATCCTGAAGATGGAGGTGATACGTTCCTCCGAAACGTCGGTTAACATCACATATACACAGTGCCAAATCCCAGAAGACTGCTTTCTTCATTATAGGATAAATTAATAGGGGTTTGATGTTATCAATTACAGTAATTTATCTCTGCTTTATTAATATAATGCAAGTTTTGAGGTTACTGAAATGACTGGAGTCATAAAAACAGTACATTGCTTTGTTTGGGCAGAAGTGCTGTGATGTGAAACTTGAAACTCTCTCCAGATTTAATTGCCAAAGAACCTGCCCCAAGGACATGACTGGGCCATATCTCAGACCCAAGAAGGCATATCCAAGGTGAGTTCATGCCACAATTTTATAGATAACAGATGTGAAATGAACAATACTAAAAATAATGTAACTTTCACTTAGGTGATGAATCACTTTTGTCGCATTTTGAACCTAAAGGTGAGGCAGCTATGTTAAAACCAGCCAGCTGCTTATGATAGATGAGCAATAGCATCCAACATCATGGAACCATATGGTTTTCAAAAAGACATGTCTCTCATACAAGCCATCTTAAAAACCTCTGTTCTTAGATTTGGAAGATTAAGGACTGGTTTCTTGGCCACTCTTGATATTACATAAATGACACAGACATTTTTTTTCTGTGAACTCTGTAAATTTATGCCTAGTTCTATACAACTAAAGTTGACTAAAACATTATGTCGCACTGGCTGTTATTCCATAAATTATTAATATAAACTGTGTTTATTCAAGTAAATAAACTTGTATTACTTGAAAAAGGGGTTACATTCATCCAAAATGTGGCCTTCTCCAAACTACATAGTAGTTCAACACAGAACACTATACTCTTCAATTCCTGTTTCTTGACCTTCAGAACTGCACCTGACAGGGTTTATCTGTGACACTAATGCATAATAATTTACAGAAATCACAGAATAGCTTAATAATCTTTTAAAATTACAGTTATTTTCAACATATTTACTGGGAAAGCTATTTTTCAAGGAAAGTTATATGTATAAAAGCTACAGTACTAAGAAAAGTGAGTACACAAATTTGAATAAAACAAGTATCATATTCAAAATAAAACTGCGTGCAAATAAAACAACACATGCAACAAGTGCAAATGACATGCACCCTATCATGCTGAGTTCAACGCCAAAAGTCAGTGTACATGAGGCAAAGCACCCTTGATCCCATGCCTGTCAGGTCCTGCTCACAGACATCCCTAAGTCCACCAAAACCACCTTACAGAACAGGTACACAGGCGAGGAGAAGAATTCTTCTTGATCAAACTCACCTTCATCCTCTCCACTTTACTTGGAACCACATTTATGAAACCAGTGGTTTGTCCACCCCTCACCAATGCAGCCAATCGTAACAAAGGAGGTTTCTTCTGTTCACTGGTGCCAGTTTCAGTGCCTAAGCTCTGAGGTGCATTACTGACTTGTCTTTCTGGAATTGTTGGAATTATGGGTTCAGTCTTCTTAGATTCATTATTTCCAGTCTTTATACCATTTTCAGCAATTCCCGCTGTTCCGCTGCTACGTAATGGTGTGCACTGGGATTAGGTACAAAGAAAAGGACATAATATAAAACAGTGATGCCGCATCCTACACTGCAAAATTCACAGTACCTACACAATTATTATTCACTCACCAAATAATGAAGAGTGGCTGATCTGGATGTAACGCTTTTTGAAGAAAGTGAAGTTGATGTCTGATTTTGAAATTCCTTAGCATGTGTTCCAATTTTAGACAAATCTCCAACACTTTCTCCACCCTTCAAAACATTCCATGGACTCTTGCGATCTTGTAGTCCATGTGTGCAGTTGTGAATTTTTTTAAGGTAATCAAATGGTTCTGCATATATATGTTCCTCACTGCGTGATTTACTATGTAGCAATGCTCCATATGGTTTAGGTATACTCTTTGATGGCGAATGGTTTTTAGGTGACTCCACGAAAAACTCTGACTGTTTCTCAAGTACTTTCTCATATAAGTGGATTTGGGAACGCAGTGGATTGTTTGAACTGACAGAAACACAAGTTAAGTTTAGGCACCCACCAGATCTTGCACTATCACCATCAGTATAGGTTTCTTGTGAGCTAAGTGGTTCACTCTTCAAGGGCAAACTTGGTAGAGGACCCATTCTCCCTACTGATTTTCCAGAATCTGAATGTGGTTCACTGTATGTCACGGTAGCCTTGTCCTCAACATGTCTCTTCATCAAAGGGCTTTTTGGCCTCAGAACAACTCCCCCAGTGCCTTGCTGATGGTTCACTAACACAGACTCCAACTTTTTCAGCATTATCTCTGATTCTGTTCTTGAGCGTACTGGTTTCACAGCCTTCTGAACATTCATCTCCTCTGATGCAATTTTAAAAAAATTTTCTTGCTGAGGCAAGTCTTTATTTGACACTGCCTCAATGGCACTTGTAGTGGCACTTGGCATGGAGAGACTGTGCTGGCCTACATTATCTGGATGTGGTGTATTGTGAGCAAATGTTCTGGGTGGTTTCTTTGGTGGAGGGCCTGCAGGTAAAGGTGCCTTCAAGGCAGCTTTTAAAGTATCTGTTAGGATGGAGTAATTAGTACTTGCTTCTTCCTGCAATGTTTCAGGTGGTACCTGATCCTGTTCACTTCTAGCACAACTAGTACCTTTAATATTATTCACTTTATTTCCACTTGGAACACTTGTTAACTTGGCATGTGACCCCACTTCTTTGTGTCCCATGTTTCTCACAGTGGTAGAGTTTTCCACCGTGCAATCAGAACCTGACTGTTGGTTCTGAAGTGGAAGTTTTACCCCACGACTATCGAATTTATGTAAAAATGGTGCCAACACTTCAGCTTTAACTTTTGAAACAGAAGCATATTCAGCACCTGGTTTAGCTAATTTTGTACTGTGCTGAGGCACTGTTTCAGAGTTTTCAAGATCAATCTCATTGCTTAAGATGGCTTTACCACCAAAATTTTTAGATATACTTGGATTATTCACACGAGATTCTGTTGCATAAGTGGTAGACACAGTGTTCCCTGAGTTTATTATGGACATTAGTTTCTTAGCTGCATCAGTTTCCTCACATGGCAACTGCTTTCGTAATTGTAATCTGTGGGATTTGTTGGCAACAGCTGCCATATCAGATGAGGCATAAGGAGATACATTCAATTTCCTTACTACTGACTTCACACTTTGCCCATCCTCAAATAATTTAACCCTGTTACCTACAACTGATCTAGTTTTTTCAGGGGCACCACTTGTCTGTCCAACCACATTTCGACCTTTCACAATTTTGTCACAACGAAATGCTGGGCTACGGCGAATATGACCCCTTCCATATGGATTGCTCAGCTGCCTCTCTGCTCTCATTGGACCACCTGTAGGAGTTTTTATGGTGGGTGATGGGTTTGGGAACTTCCTTGGAATGTCAATGGGGTTAGAAATTGCTGTATGCAAAATTTTCCTTCTTCCTGAAGCACTACTTTTAGTTCCATTACTGGGCTGTGTTTTATTTCCCAGTGAACTTCGGTTGACAGGAACTCTGGCAGACAGAGATAAATCGTTATTAATAACTTCAAATCTCTTCTTAATATTCTCGACTCTGCTTCTAGATTCTGGTGGTGAGACATATGACATTGTCACTCCCTTACAATACAACACATATCCAACATTGCGTATGTTGTATACATTGTTCATTACTGTGAACATTTTATTTCACCCCTTTTCGAAATGGACACAAAGTTAACTTGAAAATCCATTTTCTTTCTAGAAACAGCTTAGTTATGTCACCATTCAGTTCAACTTCGGTACACTTGCACATGTTAAATGATTCGCCAGTCGACAGTCGCCTGTGAGAAGAAAAGAGAGTGCTCAGGCGATACTATAAACTGAAGAATACAAACTACTGTGTTAGGAGTTAGAAATAATTTGCTTTCAGTCCCACTTTTAAACCAGCCACGTCAGAAAATAGCGGTTCACGTGCGAGAGTCACACCCTTCACTACATTACTTACCGACTTCCTCTTGTGATAATTTTATGACGAATTTCTAACAGCCATTAATCACGCGAAATTTAGAGCCAGTTAAAATATATTTTGTATAGTAACTTATCTAACTACGCATGACACGTCAAAAAATGGCAAATAACATCGGATAACACTAGCACCACCACAAAAATACATACACCAACACACACTTCCTTCGTATTCTAGAATTGTTTCTAGGACATGACACTCTGGCGGGAAGTCAGTTGGATGTTGCCAACGGAAAGTTAAATTCCCTATTGGTATTACATCGTGAGTCATCGTATTACGTAGAATATATATATATATATATAAACACTTTTCACCATAAATTAATNTTAGAATATATATATATATATATATTTACACTTTTCACCATAAATTAATTACTGTTTTAATAAACAATAATTAACCTCATAGCAATAGCAAGGATCAAGGTTCCAATAGCCATCACAAGTCCGAAAAAAATTTATCTGATCGTCAGAATTCGAGTCCTTCGCGCCAAACCTCGGTGTTTAAATTCAAGTTGTTTTTTTTCCTTGACACTACAGTTCCAGTGGGCGTAGGGCTACCTCCATGAACTTCTCCGAAATTCAAGTTTACTGTCGTAATTTAATATCGACTACACATACCTTTTTCACGGTACTTAGAAATGTTGAGGTTTCACATGAGTTTCACTGGGCTTGCTGTGGCGAACGTAGTACAGGCGACCCTTCAATTTACGTGCCTGAATAGGCGTGGAACAAAATCCACTGGAGCCAGAAGTAACCAAAGGATTTCGTTTGAATACGTTCATATAGACCTTGACCACTGTTAATGAATTTATTAATTTGAAAAATTAGTTACGACAATTAACATGCTCCTGAGCCCTCTAGAGCTCCTGTGAAAAGGCTGCTTTGAATGGGGACTATGCTTTGATAAGATATATTGTAATCGGAGATTATTATATTCCCAATAATATGATTAGTTTAAGATTATCTGTAGGTAGGGATCGGTGTTACGTAACAATCAATGTTAGGTGTTTAAGTTTAATTTTGTATATGACATTTCAGGTGTTATACCTTATGTTGATAATGAAATAGCGAAAATCATCACGTATAACACGTTAAAAAAGTTTACTGGATAACATATGTTCTACATTTTTCAGCCCCATGAGGCTTACTTGCTAGAAATTAATGTACAGCAAGAATTCTCTTTAATTCGTAAGCCTCTAATGAATGCCCTAAGAGTTGAAACACATTTTATCCAGTGATTAAAGTTTCTAACTACTATATATATTATACTTGATGGTTCTTATTACTTCATTATGTTTAAGTTTGATATTTAACAATGCTTCTACCCATCTGAACTGTGGCATGGCCTAGAAAGCCTAGAATTTAGGACTGTAGGAGCTGTAGGAGGGAGTGACTAAGTGGGCACCAAATACCAAACGGAAGAAAACAGCTGTAATGGATGTAATAAGTTTACTATTATTATCAGTAGGTAGCAGCACAGTCGGGCATCATGACCGATCATGACAGTCAAAATGGTGGCGGTATTGCTTTGAATTACCAAAGCTGCGTTCTGTTTTGCGTTCTTTTTTTGTGCACAAAAGGACTCAGTGCAAAGGATATTCATAAAGAAATATTTCCTGTTTAGGTTGGGATGTATTTGTTCCATAAAGCGGTTCACAACTGGGTATAAATTCTCTCAAGGAAGTTCGAAAGTCTCAGATGATGCTCAAACAGGTGTGGAAGTGGCTGAGGCAAAAGTCAATACCTCAGTGCTATGGGTTTTGACCCTATGGTAAAGCGATAATTGTTTTTATAAAGTGGATGAGTTTCTCTCGTGTGAGACAAACACTAATCAATTATAATAACATAATTCATGAATAATCGGTTTTGGGAATCCCCACTGCGCAATTTTCCTTTCTTTTTTCCAGCAACAAGATAACACGGTCAGAGATGAACTTGAATGGGCTACTGTGGAGAGATTGCAGATACCAAGAAGCTGCACCAGGAAGGGAGAACAGATGTAATGAGATGTTGCAGTGTAGAGTCTACAGTGAAACGTTACCAGTCCTATCATCAAATTCACCAATGTTATCTCAAAGGCCGTGCCATAGCTTAAGCGGTTAGTTGCTGGCTTCCCACTGCTGCGGTCTAGTCAGGTGGGATATGTGATGGACAAAGTGGCGCTCGGGCAGGTTTTCCCTGACATATGGAAGCCGACGTGCCGATGGGACCTAATATGGATTCCACCTCACACTATATGAAATCTTAACTATTTTAATCTATTGTAAGCAGTTGTAAGTATTGTAACTTTATTCTCTTATTGTAATCAGCCAATGTACAGTAACTGATATGTCTTATATCATGTAACAGTGATCTATAGAGACGAAATAAATAGATGGTACAAGTGTATCAGTGTTGGTAGAGGATACTTCAAGAAATAAATGATTTTTCTAGGTTCGAATATCGCTTTTTTTTCTTTTTTTACGATTTATATTCATTTTTGGCCTATTTACTGACCTTCCCTGGTAACATGGATACATGTAAGAAATATGTTGTGACGGTATTAAATATTGGCCTTAAAGGAAAACTGAACCCTATACTCCAGTTATCTCTGTATGTGAAAATTTCTGTTTAACCATTTTTAGGGAAGACTGGATAGCTCAGTTTTGTAATCCAAGAATGGAGATCACATGATACTGAATGCACAGTTGAGGTGCACGACTTTGTCTGCAGAATCCTCTTGAGCTGAAGAATTATTGACAATTCAAATCGAAACTAAAGCTGCTGTTGTAATGTACCTGGGATTATTGACAAAATATTTTTTTTCTTAATAAAAAACTCTCTGAATATTGTGAATAATGGTAGAGAGCCTTCATAATCGATGGAACATAAATTGTCCAGTATTTTATGTCTGACACTGTATCATGGAAAAATCCAATTTTATGAGGGCAAGAAAGAACTGTGCTATAAATCATATTGCTTCAGAAATTAAGAAAATTTTATGTAAACCGTGGCATACACTAAGAGTAGAATGTGTGGGAACCTCCCACATTCTAACACGCAGCTTCGCTGGCCTAACAGACAACATTCAACTTTCTTTTGCAATATGAAAACTTTGTTAACACAAGAAGAGCCACCCAAAAAATTATACCATAACTAATGGTAGAATGTATATGAGCAAAATAAGTTAGCTTTAATGTATCTAAAGGGACAATATATTTTATATTTCTTAATGCATAACATGCAATGGAAATTATATTAATAACATAATCAATATGCTGTTTCCATGAAAGAGTATCATCATCCCAGAAACTTCGTCTCGGTCACATTTGTTAAATTTATCTGATCATAATTAATTTGAGTAATATTATAATAATTCATAGGTCAAAATCGACATAGTGAGTCTTATTAACATTCAAGGTAAGCAAATTAGCATTAAACCATGTTTTTATATATTTGAAAATTTAATTAAGATTTATTTTGAAGTTTAACTTATTAGTGTCAGTTACTATAATACTAGTGTTGTCTACAAATAATACCATATTATTTTTATTTATTATTCTAGGTAAATCATTAATATAAAGCAGAAGAAACAAGGGACCAAGAATCGAGCCCTGTGGAAGACCGCATTTAATTGTTTCCATTTTGATGAGTTGTTACTGTCAATTCTATTACCCAATACAACCCTTTGATATCTACCTGTCAGATAAGATCCTGTAAGTGTTTTGAATTTTCCTTCAATTCCATAGAATTCCAATGTATCCAATAATTTTTTATGGTTAACACAATCAAACGCCTTTTGTAAATCATAAAAAATGCCTCCACCCATTAACTTATTAATCATCGCAGTTCAAATATTATTTATCAATGTAAAAGCTGCCTTCTCAGTTGAGGAGTGTGTCCTAAAACCATATTGTTTGTGTACCAACAGATTATTTGTTTCAATATGAGTAATAAGTCTCACATATATGAGTTTTTCAATGATCTTAGAACAACAATGATGTAGGTCTATAGTTGGATATATTAAAGAGATACCAGTACTATACAAGTTTAAAAAGACTTTGAAGACGTTCCTACTTGAGCATTGTTTGTACAGTATAGACGAGTTTGAGGGCTGTTAGCTTCTAAGCATGGCAAAGACCATTTGCATGACATCAGAATCTGAGTACCTCAAAGCTGACTAGCACGCATTGCAGTCTTCTTCAAGATTCACTCGCTACAACTGAACTCGGTGACTGCTACAATTCAAGTGATCTGCTTAGGCATTCCAGTTTTTTTTTATAAACTTTTAGCTAGACAGCGAAAAATGCGCCTCACTTCCCTGTTGAGTAATCACCGTATTTACAGGTGTTGCTGGGCAACGCTGCCAAGAGTTGTTTATTGCTGCATAGCAACCAGCATGCTTCAGCTCACTTCAGCTCTGCTCAGCACAGCATGGAGAAACGCCACTTTCCTTACTGTTGCGTAACCTGGCAACCAACCAGTTATCAAGGGTTTGTCTTCGTGGTAACTCGTTCCACCTCCCGTTGCCCAGCAACGGTTAGACATGTCACAGTATTATAATTATAAGAATGTGATTGCTTTGTTTCCTAAACTGTGTAATGTGCAGTATGAAGGTTGTATTCTCTTGGGATATGACATCATGCAATTTCATAGATAAATACCAATGTTTTGAAGGAAATTGCAGCTTCCATTTTGTAAGTGAAGATTGAAGCAGAAAATTTACAGCATTTGTTCATATTTATACCTATCTACCATGCCACATGACACCACATTCCACAAGAGACTTATCTTCATAGTCACTGCCATGAGAACTGCAAATCTCACATGTATGATCTTTCCCAATATAGGCCTGTATTCAAATATTCAAACATGTTTATCTGACATATATAAAAAACAAGAAAAATCAATACATTAATATTGGCAAAAATCATTAAATGTGAATATATGTATAATTATGTTATCTGTAGTGAATTGCTAAAGTGTCCGCCATGGTGTGAATAATCCAGTTCAGAACCCTTTTTTTCATCAGATAAGTCATTTCATTGTTACTGACTATTAATTCATCACTTGAAGTCATAATCTTGTTTATAAATACATTAATGTAGAATTATCTTGGGTGTGAGCAGCATCCATATCAGACTGAGGCAGAGCTGTTAGCATAAGTACCTCACAAAATTATCATGATGGCTCTAATGACACAACAGGAGTTATGTATAGTGAAGCCAAAACAGCTCTGATGGAACTACAGAACCACCACAAGACAGCAGTGGGTTTTGTTTACTTTGAAAATAAATAAACATTTCTTTGATGGATCTAATGGAAAGTGACAAAAAATTTATATAACAAATACCAGTTGCCTTTCACTTTCAGTCATCTGATTTATTACTTTGAACAAAAACAGTATTGCACCAATATTAAAGTGCATTCAGAATTTTGTAGTTGAGAAACTAGTAAGAAATAAGAATAGTAGGTGAATATGTTACTCCATTCAAGATCCAGATATGTGCAATAAAATACAGTGTGTTCAACCACAGAGGAAACCTGATAGCAGAGTAGAGCGGATGGAATGTTTCTCCGCGACTACTGTGCCCTTCGCCCCTAGTGAGAGTGCAGTCGCTGATTCCCTCACATCAGTTTCTGTACATGCACATATTTATAGGAATACTGTAAACAGATAACACAAAGCTACTGTGCTTTATAACAAGTGCTGAAAGTGACCCCCTTCTGCTTGCAAACATACCTCATATCGCATAAATTATGTGACACTTTCTGAAGTTAGTCCATGGTAATTGAACCAATTACGCATGCTATTTCATTCTGCAGAGCTTCAGTGCTGCGATTATTATTCTTGTAGCTTTTCTCATGTAGGTTTCCCCAAACATAAAGATTGAAGAAAAAAAAAGAGATATGGGGATCTGGGAGGCCACAGTCCTCTGCTCATTATTCTGTTTTCAAACACTTCCTGTATTACAGCTGTGGTTGCATTAGTCATATGTGATGTAGCTCTGCCTTACAGAAAATACCTGTATTGTCTTTTGAAAAAGTTAAACAGTTCCATTCAGTGTGACCAGTCACACTGAACTGAACTGTTTAACTTTTCATAATATTAGTGTGACGGACCAGAATGAAACAAATCAAATGTATTGTCTTTCTTCAGCAGGCAGATGATTGAAGAACGGATTCAGTATATCATTAATGTAGCGGTCAGGGTTCATGGTTTCATGCAAAAATTAGGGGCCAATGATTCGGCGCGGACTTACAGCACACCATGCCCCCACCTATCCACTATGTAATGGTACTTGCTATATAGTGTGAGGATTTTTATCACTCCATATTCTTACATTTTGTGCACTGACATAGCCACTAACGTGAACCATGCCTCATCAGTCATGAACAGAAGCTGTGGATACACAGTTCCATCGTGCACAGTTTGCAGCCACCAGCTGCAAAAACGAATTCTTGCTGCATAATCAGATTGTTTCGGCTCATGCACATCTGTTATTTTATATGGGCAAAATTTGATTAATTTCATGGCTGTGAAAGCAAATCCCAGTGAAACACTGGTTTCCTGTGCTTAGTGTCTTAACAGTTTTCGAGGGCTGATTTGTAGTCATGCTTCAATATCCCGAACCTTTTCTTCAGTCAGCACAGTCGCCTTCAATTGCTTCTTTATGTCACACACTGAACCTGTGGCCTGCCATTTTTCACAAGCTTGGATACACACGACTTTGTGGGAACTGGCAAGTCAGGATATTTATGATGAAAGTTATGGATACATTTTCTGTAGGTCTTTCCTTGCAAAGTTTTGACAATAAACACATGCTGTTCAGTAGTGAACTTCATTTCAGTATAAATGTCAACCGCCTATCAACACCTCTAATACAGACTGACTATTAATGTGACTTACTGCAGTGACAAGATCAGACCACCTGATGGTGCGTGTTTATCAGCGCTAATGATCGCTAATAACTCATTCTATTGTCGGCAGTTACAGCAGCAATCTGTGAGAAATGTTGTGTCCACTCTGCAATGCTGCCAGGTTTCCTCTATCATTGAAAGCACTGTATTAAGATCTGAAAATGAATTGGAAATATCACCACATGAAGAAATTAAAAAGTGCTGTTTTTCAGTAGTTACCAATTAATGTTATTATAATTGGCTCTTAATAATCAGGCATTGCTAAGATTTTCCCACATTAACAGACTCTTTCATTTCAGTGTTTCAGAAGGGAAGAGAGCACTGTGGTGAAATGTGCAAGGGCAAAAAAAGAAAAATATTCAATATTTGTTAAATATTGTAGTCTTTATTCATATATCAGAGGAAATCTCATAAATTCCTCTTTTACTTTATACAAAACCCTGTTATTAAATTACAACTTTTATTTTAAGATTTATTCACAAAAATACTGCCATATTAAAACTTTGCTACAGCATACCCAATACCAGATTTGGGCTCTTTCTTGTTTCTTCTAAGACTTCAGTACTAAATTTCCTTTCTAAAATTTATTTCATCCTAATGATGAACACATTCATGATTCAAAAAGTAGGTTGGATTTAATTTATCATGGAGATGAGTATTATTCCCATCCCACTTATCTCTCATCTGTAGCTCTGATTATGAATTTCATGTTCACACTAGGAACAGGTGTGAAGAAATCCTGTTCTGACAACAAGGCACCCATGAGGCAGCATCTGATAATAGCAAGAACAGTAATGAGGGCCAATGACCTCTGAACCAGAGGAGCTTTTTATTTTCCGCAGTCACAAAATCACAGCTTCATCAGCACTGTGAAAACTTGAATCAATGTGCAAAATCTTAAAATCAGCTTTGGCCGGGGATAAGGCTTAGGACATTCTGAAAATAATGTGCCTGTTCCTGAGAGTAGCCCATTCTATAGGTCAGAAAACATATATTTAGTGAACTGTATATTTCAGAATTGCAATTACCCAAATTATTTACTTTCAAATGAACATACAAATTGAGCCTTGATTATACACTGTTAGTGTTCTCAAATTGCTGATATGTATTATTCATAAAAGTTGTGGCACTTGAAGTATAACATAACCTTAAGAATTCATATCAATATCATTTATATTAATGTAAACTTTTATATTGCACTGAGCAAATAACAATATATGAATATTAAAATAATCTTGATAATACTTGGAACATGAAGCACTGTAGTTTATTTGGATGATAGACTCTTCAGTATTCCTAGAAAAGAACTTCTGGCTTCTTGTCACATCAATTGGAATGGTTAGTGATTCAATTCCAAAGTGTACTAAGTAGATGAATATGAATACTGAGCAAATATGTGTCTGCCAAAACTTCACTCCCACAAACATATTTTCCATCTCTTTCAGTCTAACAAACAGACATCTGCTGACATTTCAGTCCTGCAGTTAGATGTCTATTGACACTTAATCCCACATATAGATGATTTCTGGCACTACAGCTCAGACATCTGCAGACCAGCAGACATGTCTGCTGACACTTCAGTTCAGGAACATCTGCCAATGTTTCAGTCCCAGTAACATGTCTCCTGACATTCAGTCCTGCAAATATGCTAATTGAGTACTTAAAATCGGTAGTTCTTCTGACTGCATCACTTGTAACATCTTTTTAAAATCCTAAACATGTAAAATAGGAATGAAATACTAGTTTCATCACTTTGGTTCAACATCCAGTGTACATCTCTTTGGTACACAAGTGAAGCATTTCATTCTGCCTCAAAGAATGACAGCAGACTACCTCTGATGTTTAAAACATATTCCTCATCTGGAACCAATCCTGATCCAGATTCATGTCACAAAATCCTCACTTGTTACCAGGGGACTTTTCAAACTCCATCATCTTCATCATCTGGATCTGGATCTGGATCTGTGTTTACATTGTTTAGCAAAGAATAAGAGTCCCGGATAATAAGAAGTCTGTGTTGCCCATTGATGATGAAACTGCTTCCTCTTCTCAGAGTCTCTTTGCCTTTCTCCAAAGCCTCCTTTGTGAACACAACATTTTTGTATGTCTTGATGAACACGCCAACCAAAATAAGGATTCCTGATACAATAGACCCATATTCAAATATGGGAGCTGAAACTTCAGCGACTGTTGTAGCCAAGTAAACCCAATGTCGTATACTGGGTGTGAGCTCTGTGATTCCCTGAAAGTTGAGTGTCACAAAGTCAAAATTATGTGATGATTATACAATCACAACTAAATTCACTAAATAAATATACAATTGAAAAGATCATTTGGAAAAGGGCATGAATTCTTATTGTTGTGAAAATGAATTAAATATGTATTATAAACATACATGACTTGACATGCATTTAAAGTGAAAATGGGGTGAGTCCAATGTTCCATTGTGCTAATTATGGATTGTTCATTTATAGCCATCCATTAAAAATGATATGAGCCTTGAGAGTTTTAGCTTCTTAAATCTTACTAGGGTATTTGTAAAACAGAAAGGTACATCTGAACATTGCAGTAGTTGTAACTTACTGCTTCAGTAAATAAATCTGTTTCAAAGAGACTGAATTAAAATTTTCATTTCGCTGTAAAAGGCATCAGTCCATAAATTGGCTCATGATTTATGAACTATAGAATCATCAAAATTATGCATAGACCTGAAGGGGAAATTAGTTTTAACCTTGAAGTTACTAGAAAAGCTTACTTCAGTTTTCTTACATTTGTGGTTCTCATGGTTGTGACTGAAATTATTGCTTCTGCAATATGACACCATATGCTGTGGTAGGTGTTCACACATGACCTTACAGAACATTGGTAAATATTTACAAAAATATATAGCATCATATTCTAATATTCTAAAGAATAAATTTCTTCTAAATAGTACACAAAATTTAAGTCTGTACCTCACAGGAAACATATTATGTCTCCGCTATGAAGCCCAATCGGTTAATGCTGTTTAGGGAAACAGTCACTGGTTATTGTTAGAACCATATGGAATACACAAATACATATGTGAGTGGAATGCAGTTCTTATATGATATACTAGGTCGTATATTAGAACAGCTGGGCTTTAAAGGGTTAATTTACTGCTGTTACCAGGTGACAACTGGTGAAGGTGCAGCCAACTGAGAAGGCTTTGTACCCACTGTAGTAAACTGCAAAGTAAAAGTAAAGCTATTCCTGTAACAGGCCGTGGAGGCCCATAGGGTTGTGAAATATTGAGGTTCCCACATTTTCTAGACAGTCAACTCATAGATGGCGGTAAGGTTGTCAGCTCTACGCGCTGGCCGTCCTTTACCCCCAAGAATATTCCTGGTACTCATTTCTGCTAGAGGCTGAGTCGACCCCAGGGCCGTAGTGCATTTGGAAGGATTAGGTAAATTGAAAAAAATCCAATGACCTCATCAGGATTTGATCCCACAACCTTCCAGCTTGTAGCATAGTGCCTCAACCAATTACGTTACTGCGTGGCCCCTGCAGAGTATGTGAATTAACATTAACGCTGTAGTTACTTGTAGTTACAAGTTGTGTGTACAAGTGTGCAATAAATCCTATTACCAATCAAGACCCCATCTATAGTTACTCTATTACTTAACAATAATTTGTTTCAGCAACAATAAAAATACGTTTAGTAGTGACTGCAGTTTTGGACGTGGACCTTTATTGGTTACAGATTTTATCATATTGTGTTGTACAGAGGAACAATGGCTTGTTTATATGGCAAGTGAATAACTTCCAGAAACCCAGCTAAGTGTAAGTAGTAAGATGAGCAATATGAAACCATACATACACTACTGGAGTGGTGTATCTGGTGGCCCAGGTGCAAATGATCCCTGTCATATCCTCATACCCCTTCATCAGACCTAAAGCCAAGCCACAGATGCATTCACCTAGTGTCAATAATTTAAATTGCAATTGTTCTTTTTATTCATTTAACTTTATGGCAATATAAATATTGTCATGTGTATGTGTTACTATGGACAGGTTTTAGTTTGATGATCGTGTTTATTGGACTCTTTGGATACAACGTCTGACTGCACTTTACAATTCACTATCACATATCACGTCTTCTGTACCTGTTGCTTAGTAGCGGCTTCCAATGGCAGATGTTCACCTTCTTCTGGGTTCCCGACCTATTCCCAGCCTCAGCTACCAGCTTCTCACAGCAAGAGCTCATGACTGAACCTCAGCAGTTCTGTGATTGACTAACTCAGTCACTCACCAGCCAACTAACTCAACTCATCTCAACTCCATTGACTCTCACTAACATCTCAGCATGGACTGCACAGGAACACTGTTCCACTGTTGCTGTTTATGGGCCATTGTTTAGCTGTTTTTCTTCACAGTCACTGCCTGTGGAATGGGTCCACATGCCACATTGCTCCCTCCTTAAGGATATTCGTCCTGAATAGCCTACAGTCATACTGCCATTTCTCGTTCTCTGAGGGCTGTGTTTGTGACCTTTGTGATCATCCTAGCTTTCACCATGGCTTGGTTCTCACAGTGGAATCTCCAATTGGTCCTTTGTTAAGGCTGCCTGTCCCAAGCAGTTCCCTGATAAGGTGCAATCCAGTTCAGGTGTAAACCATCATCCTTGAACTAGGGTTCCACTGGATCCTGTATACCACATCATTTTTCCAGGTGACTGCCATGTATGGGCCCTCCCATGAGGATTGGAGCTTGGGCTATTTCATCTTCAATTGGGTTGAGCAATAGAGCCTGATGTTGTCCTCATGGTAGGTCACACCGATGGCCAGTGTGTCGTAACGAGTTTTTATCCAGTCACTGGCCATCTTCAGGTGTTGGTGGGCATAATTTTGGATGTTGTGTAGATGGTCCACTAAATTTTCCATGTGATCTATTGTGGGTTCTTCTGACACTAGTTGTTTGTATGTACATTCATATTAATGGACTGGCTTGAAGTATAATTAAATATAAGCAACAATGAATAATATTTCTGGTCAAATTTTGGATTCCTGAAGCCAGGAGGGGTCATTTAATGGTTCAGCATTGGCTGTGGGCATTCTCACCTTTTGCCATATCAACTATTCACCTGCTCTCGTTCCTTATTTCTAATATTTCAAGTGATATGTTCTCTTTTCACAAACACGTCTCACATGACAGTCAGTGCGTGTCTGAAGTAAAGTGCAAATACTTTATAAATTTTGTGGTACTTCAGTGTTTTGTTTTATAATTAGGGAACAAATTGTCAATATTGCTGAGTTAATGAGTGATTATTTTAAGAACTGACACTTAGCATAAAGTGGTTATTATACACCATCTACTGTTACATCAAGAAACTCTTGTTTTGCGCATTAGCCCACACACTGAATTTATATGCTTTATGTGATTATCAAAATAAACAGTCAATATTTCCTGTGACAGTATTATCCATTTGGGCCTTGTAATGGAGATGCATATTTTCTGTGAGGCAGGGACTGAACTTTGAAACATTATTTTGATGAAATTCCAGCTTCAAAGCGTTAACAGTTCACAGACTTTATAACCTAATAATCAATTAATAGTAACTTATGATCTTCAAAGTAACACGAGACAGATAGGTAGATTTGAAACCTATGTCAGATTGACTTAGCATGGTAAAAAATATAGACTGACTGAAGAAATGAGAAAATATAAAGTTCTATTTCCCTTCCATCACTAGCTCTAGAAAACTTTTCACAGCACTGAAAGCAGCCATGTGACAGCGCCTGATATTACAAATATGTAACAACTGAGCCATTCAACTTTTGTAATCTTCTTGGCTGGTAGAAATGTTTACCATTCTGCATATATCCGCATGTTGTTTCAATTGAAATTTACCTCTTGAAGCCATATGATTGGGAAGACGATGTCAGGGAACTTGGCAACAGAGTATATATTGGGTGAGCGCTCTACTTTTAGGTTGAACTGGACTCGTACTTGACCTTCCACTGGGACTCCCAAGTTCTGTAATAAAATGTGATAAAATAAGTTTAATTTTTGATAAACGTTTTCTTTTACCAATGAAATATAATTTAAAACAGTAAGTCCTTGAAAGCTAAATGGTAAGTTCTGCATTTTTGTTCCAGTTATATTGTCACGATTTAGGTGTGTGACTGTAGATGGGGTATTGATTGAATATTGGATTTATTAACACAACTTGGAACTACAAGTAATTATCATATCATATCCTGGCAATGGGTTTTAATACAGTAATTATAACAGTACACATAAAGTCTTCCACAGCTGCACTCTTGCACCTAACTCTTTTTTCACAGCCTGATGTGATGGCTGCACACGACGCTTTGATGGTTTCTCGTAGTGCGTTCAGTGTAGCTGGCTTTTGTCAATAAACTTCATCCTTAAGGGTTTCCCATAGGTAGAATTCGAGAGGTGTTAGGTCTGGAGACTGTGGTGGGTACTCAGTAGCACCGCTTCAACCTATCCATTGTCCAGGTAGAGTGTCAGCCAAGTATGCCCTGACATCTTCACGGTAGTCAGGCGGAACACCATCTTGTTGTAGGTAAAATCTCCTGGCCGCCCTTTATCCCCAAGAATATTCCTGGTACTCATTTCTGTTGGAGGCTGAGTCGACCCCAGGGCCATAGTGTGGCTGGAAGAATTAGGTCAATTGAAAAAAAATCCAATGACCTCATGGGGACTTGAATCTGCAACCTTCCGGTTTGTAGCATAGTGCCTCAACCAAATACGCTACCTCGTACAATTAGGGTAGTGTAACCATTTGGTTATATGGATTTTACCACTTATAAAGGCACTCTGAGAGTAGGAGCTTATGACTAATTGTATTTCAAGCTACCATAATCAGGGCATTGGAAAACTACAACAGCAGGATCAAAGAGATTTCTGTTTAAATATGTGGTCAGGTTCTCAAAGGGCATTAAATTATTTTCTTTTGATTGTCATTCTTTTGTTTGCATAAATTTCATGATAAGTAAAGAAAACTGAAGATAAAAAAATGAAGTTTCTGTAGTTTTGGCATGCAAGGGACCAAATGTCCGAAATTTGTTGATGAAAGACCAAAGTGCTGAAGGAGTATATACGTTTGAGTACATTTCCCTTTTTTGTTTTTCACAAATATTCATGACATCGTTTGGTCTGATAAGGTTTGCATTACTGCTGCTTGTACATCAGTGCATTTAACATAAGCAGTTACAGAATGGTAAGAAAAGAAGTCTATCATGTAGCTTACGGGTTGTATCAAAAAGTATGTCTGATGTTTCTCCTTCTCTGGCTTCAGTCCTTCCACAGCCTCAAGCAGAGCTGGATCAGCCTGGTAGAAATGAGGAAAGGAGAGATATGCCGGTGCTCCTGCATGGGCAGACACACAAAATGTTGTAGTATGTGCTTCTAAAGCAAAGTAATTGTGTGACCACAAAGGAAGAAGAAAACAAGTAAGGTTACTCATCCAGGGGGCATATAAGATGGAACTTACCAAACTGACATGGGGCAATATTCTGAAGTCCTTTGGCTGGACAAGTCTTATCATTCTCACCACAGTAACACTTGTTATCTGGCTGTCTCTCTGGTAAGTCAAAGATGTCTTCAGGTGGCGTGTAGATACCAGCTTCAATACCATTCTTAGTTGTCATACCACGGAAGTGCAACGGTATTATTCTGCAGAGGTCCTTATCATACACATGCACAACGTCACTGTGGGTGTATTTCCTAGGTGGGAAGAATGACCCTTCCGAGGCACGTATATTGTTACATGGTGAATCAGGCCAATATGGTAGGTGATCAAGACCATTCAACTTGTCCATATAGCCAAATTCTTCCATGGCTGTATGGCCTGTGTAGATCGTGGAAACTTCATTCAAGGTTCCATTTCTCTGAAAGACCAAGAGATGAGACATTTATAGCAACATTCTCACACATAAAACCATTAGGTTTTCATTAATTCATTATCATTACTGTTTAGGCCCAACTGGCATATTCTGCCTCCACTTCATATTTGTCATTCCATTTTCTTTTAAGTCATCCCATAATCCTGTGTCCTTTCAATTGGTATCTCCATGCTACTTCTGGCAGAAATGTATCTTGTGTTTTCATCATAAAATCTTTCCAGATATTTCCCTACTCCATGATCATATCGCTTCTAAAATTAATCTCACGAGGGACAGAAAAAACGCACATGAACTGTCCACAAAAGATATCATAACTTATTAAAAGAACTAAAAATTAATTCATAATGGCCAGAATTTTTTAAAATTAAACCAAATGGATTCAAAGCGTTGACACAAAAAAACTCACTTCTGACACTGTTAAAGCTACTAACTGCATGTTTCAAGGAGCCAGGGAAGATATTTTAAGGGGCTACTGGATAAATGGGGCCAGAATATGTCAACAAATGGACCAACTCTCTGACAACTATGTCAAAATGGTGGTGGTGTTGGTGGTGGCGATAATGGTGATGATGATCATCATAATCATCTTCATTATCTTACAAATACTTTGTATTCATAGGTCTGTTTCTTCTTTACATTGCATATTTGTAAAATATTGTACTTTTATGTGTACAGCAAAGATATATAAATTTCAAGAAAAAAAAATTTAAACCATTCAGAATTCCAGGTAACATCTATGTGTCACCTCATTCAAATATAAATACCAGTATCACACACTCTAAAACTGGACCTTACACTCTCTGCTGTTTTATGACTTTCAAATGGTGATGTAGTTCATTGCAACATCGTTACAAAATTACTAGGTCCATTTCAACATATGAAGAGGACCATGAATGCATACCCATGATGTCATTGAACATTAGAACTCTTCTTCCATAAGGTTGCCTATTCAAGACATGACATACTATCAAAGATACATTAAACAGAGTGTAATAATCTGAGATCTGTGAAACTCACTACAAATTGGTGCCACTGAAGAACTCACCAACTTTCTGGTCTGTTCCTTTCTATTGGCATCGGACTTGTGCCAGAGATAAGATTAGTGGGGACAGAGCAAGGTTGTTGCTCATGTACTGGTAACAGAAAGAGAGGCAGAGACAACACAGCTAAGGCCTACTTAGCTACTGGGAAATATTAACAGTTTATTGCTAGTAGACTTACTGATACCATTACAACACAAGACAGACTGCTGCATGTGGTTGTTCATACTTTTTCTCGTAATTTACTTGTGATGGGTGATGTATAAATGGAAGTTCTTATGGTTGCAGTACTGAGGCCACAAAAAGAATTCCCATGGATCATATATCCATCGTCAACCTTTAATAGTGAAACTTGCTTTGAAATGTTGGTATAGACCGGAGGGAGATAGAGGCTAATATGGCAGTAAGCAGAAAGGGGGAAGCTTTGAATACATCCCTTCTTTATCACGTGTCACTCTATGAACATATTCGAGTTTTCTCATGACAAGTATCAACAAACTGAACCTCGCACCTGTCCTTCAGCGTTCGGGAACAAGCCGTGACATAGAAACGTTGTTGCCACCTTCAGGGTTAATATGTTGGAAGGGGTGGGGTGACTGGAAGAACTTATACAGATCACGTGTTGACTGTGAGTGAGAGGTGAAGGCATAATTGGGCAATATAGAAGAGCGGTGTGCTACGCAATAGTGAGACTGCGTGGCTGATGAAAAGAAGTGACGTTTAAAACACTAGATGATGGAAGTGATTTTCTGTTAGGTGATTAAAAGAAGAGGCGATAGAAATAATTTTTGTGACATGCAGGTAGGAAGTAATTTTAGTTTGTAGTATTAGACAAGTGCGTTCTCTCTTGGCCCTGCTGTTCATTAGTTCTAGATACCAAGCCTACAGATGCAAAGCTACTCTTAAAGATAGACTTGAAAGGATTCTGATGGTGGTGTATACTGTACTTCTTTTGGCTTGTTTTGAATTTTATCCATCGTCTGGTATATAAGAGACAAAAGACCATGACCAGTGGACTAGTGATTGAGACTAGCTCTTTCTAACGGGCCCAACTGAGTAGGTTTATCCTTCCCCACCCACCTGAAGACGGAGAAAGATCCAGTCTCCGAAACATCGTCTTTTGTCTTTTAGATACCAGACGATGGATGAAGTCCAAAACAAGCCAAAAGAAGTATTCTTAAAGAGTCTGAAATTAATTTTTCTTGCAATTAAAATATTCACCATAAGAATTTGCATGAAAATATACATCTTAGGCTGGTGCCACACGAGCGCACAAAGTACGTCTGTTGCAATGAACATACTTTATGACGGACGTTGCTGTGGACACCACAGTTGCAGAATGCGGTGCGTAGTTTTTTGTCTGCAATGGAGCCAGAAGAAAGCCTAGCATTCGCCTCTCTTGTTTACGAGTATGTCTACAACGGACGTCACGTCACGACGTTCGTTACAACGGAAGCATTTTGTGCGCTCGTGTGGCCCCAGCCTAAAATGGATGCTTATTTCATATTAAGTGCCTTTTTCTCAGTTATGATCAGTGTAAGTTCGGCTTACGACAGTGTGAATGTGTTCATGGGCGCTACAAAATTGACGGGTATGTGCGCCTGGATGAAAGAGGTTAAACCATATTTTATAAGACATTATGAAATTTAACAAAACAGTAATTGTGCGAGGCTGTAAATCTGATCTACTAAGAGGGATGAATATTTACAGTAAAACAATACTATATGTTAAATTACGTAATTTTTACAGAATAAGCTGCGTACGGGCTTGTGAGATCTCAGAAAACAGAACATATCTCACTCAGACAGGGGAATAAAATGAAGTCGATTAAATCAACTTGTCAGCCTCCCTCACACGCGACTGATACGAACTAGAAGCATATTTGCTTGACTTCCAACATCCAACGAATTTTAAATCCGTCCACGAGATTCGGTTTGACTGAACTAAATAATTCAACGGAAAGAGTCCTTTAAGGCTCTGTTCCATTTGTGCTAAAGCTTTAGAGAATTAAGGCTCCACGCCTTGTTTAAGAGCCTGACTTATCCTGCTCCCTGTCACAGAGAATTCTTTGTGTTCAGTGTCGACCCTTCGAAGGTAAAACTGTCCTTCTGCTAGATACAGTTCAGCTGCAGGGACGTTGATATATTTAAAACAATTTATTTACTTTGAATTTATATATTTTCTTCCCTGATCTCTTAATGATAATTTTGATTTGCTTTATTGGAATTCTTATTATCGTCTTAGTGATATGAAGTGCGTGGTTTTTGGCTTATATTTTCTTTTGTGTACATGTGTTTGCTTTGTTCGATCCTTTCACTCGAACTTACTTTGCCATTAGATTTGGGATGTTAGGTCAACATGCAAATACATATAGAATTGAACTGAATTATTGCCACCCTCCTCCTCCTCATCATCATCATGGAATCATGGCATCAAATGTCGGCATGAGCTGGCAATTTCTCTCTGATCTGCTCCAACTACAGTTTATTGGTACTTCTTGGAAACCGAAGCTTCATACCGCGTATACCCGAGCCCACACACCAACAAACTAACAATAGGCCGATCAGTGGCCGCCGTGCCGAGTGGACCCAGCTGGACTCCACGCCCCACTATGCGAATTAAAAAAAAAACTAACAATAAATGAAGGGCCATACCCTAGCTCAGGCGGTTAGTCGCTTGTTTTCCATCGCGGCGACCTGGGTTCGAGCCTGGGTCAGGTCACATGGGAGTTGTGATAGACAAAGTGGTACTGGGGTAGGTTTTCTCCGAGTACTATTTTCATTCCACCAACTGCCCAGTAATCACCACCCTCTATCATCTGGGGTTGGTACAATAGGCCAGTAGTGGCCGCAGTACCAAGTGGACTCATTCTCACCCCACTAAGAATAAAAAGCAGACAATAAATGAAGCTACCCTCTGAACTGTCGCGCTGCCCTTCTTCACATTGTGACTGTAGAGTTTAGGAGAAAGTAGCAAATACTGGGCTTGACTTACTCCGAGCAGCAGCCCCATCCGTGACAATGGCCGTCGGTGCTTAGGGAAGAACTTGTGGGCTAAAGAAACGAGCGTATCGTCGTATCCGAAGATGAATTCTTCGGCAGTGACGTTGACAAACGGTTCGAGTCCCATTGCCCGCAGCATGATTGATAAGGTCATCCTCACCAACCGTGGCAGGCTGTTGCTTTGTGTGGTCAGCGTCTGCAACAAGAGAAACAGCACTGACAGCATGCGGGACAAGGTACTGGACAATACAGACACTTAGTTACTATAGGATTCTGACGATGGTGTATAACACACTGATATGTTGGGTTTTTGGACTTTATCCATCGTCCTGGTTTTTATTTATCTTAAAAACCAGGACGATGGATAAAGTCCAAAAACCCAACATATCAGTGAATACAGACACTGAATAACGACATTCATATCCGGAAACTTACCGTCTTCCTGAGTCTCCCATTTCTACAGCGAGCGCTACCAAGAGTTTATGTTCTTGGATAAAATATGAAACACATAACACGAAAGTCAGAGGAACACATCGCCTACATTTTCATGGCTAACGTGTACACCGAGCAAAGTGAGCTCAGCTTGTTGCCTGCGTCACGCCGATGATACCACGCTTGGCTTACTCTTTGATCCTGACGATGGAGGAGATGCATTCTGTCGTAACCCCGCTTGACTATCCTCAGATTGTACGGCGTTATCTCCCAGAACATAGAATTCTTCAACCGTGCAGATGTTTCTGTTTCGTTTGATCTGCAACTGTACCACGGAAATAATCCCCATGAGTCAACTTTCCCTACATTTCTCTCGAAAAGTTATGCCTACCCCTGAGCCGTGTCATGGCTCGGGCGGTTAGTCGCTGGCTGCGGTCCGGGTTGAAGCCCGGGTCAGGTAATGTGGGATTTGTGGTGGAGAAAGTGGCGCTGGGGCAGGTTTCCTCCGAGTACTTCGGTTTCCCTTGCCAATCTTCATTCCACCAATTGCTCCATAATCACCTTCATCTACCGTTACGTTCTGATTAGAAATTACTAAATTCTGTCTCCAGCTTACGTTGCGAACACAAATTGCCATGCCGAAGATTGTGTTCAGCACCCAGGACTTCTCTCCTGTAAGGATGCCAACTCAAGGACGTACCCTCAAAAATATTTCAGAGAATGCAATAAATTGTTGAATTCAGTCTTACCAACAGTGGGATATTAGGCACGATCACTCTAGAGTTCTTGTCGAGAGAGAGCTCTGGCACAAATTGCAAGATCTTGTTGTGCTGAAAAGTGACAGTTCCATTGTCGTGGAATTTGATGTTAACTTTCTCCATATCTTCTCTGCAAATAAAGAAAAATTATTTTCGCAGACTGCTTCACTGCCTTATGATTACAATTTTTAGAATTTTACTTCGGAAATGTATTAAGCTCAGTCTGTGCAGCAACTGATTCCCGGCAAGCAGAGTGTCCAGACCGGCGCTGAAGCCCACCTAACCTTATATCCAATATATTTTTTTTCCTTGGCACTACAGCCTCAGTGGGCCTAGGCCTACCTCCGTGAACTTCTCCGTTCACTTCGGTTTTTCTAGATCTTACACGTTCGGTAGGACTCCTTGGGCGGGTGATCAGCTCGTCGCAAGGCCTCTACCTGTACACAAACACAGAAAAACGCACACACACAAACTAAACATCCATACCCTGAGTGGGATTCGACCCCACGATCCCGGTTTCCAAGCGAGCGAAGACAGTACATGCCTTAAGACTGCTCGGCTACCGTGACCGGCATATCCAATATATACTGGGGACTATTTCCCCGGGGATAAGGCGACCGGGTCGTTAAGCTGATCACTTACCTTAATCTAGTGTCGAGGTCGAGAACTATATAGCTATATGCTCATTCTCTCATGCATCTTCAAGGCGTGGTTATTAATGAATTAGGCATATGGACAATTTGACTTAATTTGTTTTTAACTGCCTAATTTTGTGTTCTGTATCAGCTTCAGAAACAAAGTTTCAAAGTGTATGCTGAGCAGATACATTCTTCAAAATTGTCTTACAGGATATAACGCGGTTTGGTCTGACTGAAACAACAAAGGCACGAAGGGTTTTGTCTACTACGTCGTATTTAAATATATTTTCTAAAATATTAAATAATTCTCGGAGTGTTCAGGTTATTAGAGAGTGACCATGAAGATTGAGGCAGATATTTTATCCAAAACGTTAGTACATTCCTACCAGACTGCACGGCGTCACGTCCCAGATGAACATAACTCTACATTCACCGTCATGGGAACCCACACACAACTTGCGTTCATATATATTAATCTCACATTTAAATTAGTGGCATACAGATAAGACACAGACCCATGTAAATATTTACTTTGCTACGAAAATGTACATTCGGTTTAATATCTTCAGCTTTTTCGTGGTTTTCTCATGCCCGCATGGTAAATGCTCGAGTAGGCTACGGCCGCTTCCTTTCAAATCCTTTCCAGGTCATCATTCACCGACGACGCCATGGATTCTAGATACTGAGAGTGCCGTTGAATCCCACTCCCCAAAAATAAAAACTTACCGTACGCGATTTGAAGATGTCCAACGCCTTCAGGCCTGCTGCGGACATCATAGGTTTCCTGTGGTACAGGGCGGTAGGATAAGTTGTCTATACATCAGGCGATACTACTAACTGCTGATCACTTCGTATCTGTACTCACTGATGAGAAACATAGCGGTCACATTGGCGAATCCTCGGTTTATTCTTGGAGAAGAAGAGGGTTATGTTACAGCTCTGTGTGTTCTCTTGAGAACTTTAAGATGAAATTCGCTGTGAAGACAGCAGTACCTGAGCCCCCCTGCCACCACTACAGACGTTCCTTACACGCGACACGCACTTGTGAGGTTTGCAAGGAAGTACAGAGATGTGAGGATCTTCCGCAGTATAAGGGCACAACTGAGGCTGCGAAGAGGCCTGCCTGTCCTGAAGCTTGAGGCAACGGATTCCTCCGAAACACTGCGACTCTTTACCCAACTACACGTAGCGCAGAACACTCACCCTCATCGTAATTATAATTTTACTTGATGAAGGCTCGGCCTACCACCTACACCTACTTCTTGTTCGGCTTATTCGAGCCTGAGAATGGTAACATGTTCCTCCGAAACGCAGGTTGATTTCCAACGGAGTGCATGGACACATTCTGGCTCAGTGCAGTTGTGAATTCTTAGAGATGTTCAGGCATTAAGAAGGTTCTGTAGGTAGGAAATTATTTCAAATTAAATATAACGCCAATATAAAAGCCTTCATATAATTATATCTTGTGCTTCTATGTTTATTGCGTATGTATCCGTTGGTGCACTTCCGTGAACATCATTTCACTCGTGTATAGAGGACATCGGCAATAACGGAAAACCTGTCGCAGTTATAACGAGGATTTGCTGTGTAGTGCACTAGCGCGACCGACTACAACGATCTGCACTGCAGTTCCAGAAAATATATCTGTGCTGTTCTTAGTGGCTACTTGCATTTAGTGCCTCTATGTCCTTGAACTGAAATAGACGTCAGTTGCACAATAAAAGTTCTGCGGGGCGCGATGTGTGAAGAAAATGTGTGAAACGCAGTAAATGTTCTTTGGAATTACAGGCATATAAAATTATATTACCTCATTTATGGCGACTGGAAGACACAATTAAGCAATCTAAAAGTAACTGAAAATGCGTCACTGCCTGGTCTAGTTTAATCACTTTTCATTACCTTGGTTACTATGAAAATTATAACTTACGTATTTATAGTCGTCAAGGGCCCAATGCTTGTATTGGGGGGGGGTCTGACTTGGGTTCGAGCCCATGCATGTAGCAGCAAAGTTAGCAAACTTCCCCAGGTTCTCTGTGTCAGGACGTCTTTTGCCTTTAGCGGTTATTTTTCAAGGACGCTCCGTTTCGCAGAGTGTGGCTCGAACAGCCGACCTGACGAGGCGACGGGCATGTAGCCCGCACCTGCATGTGACGGTTTTGTATACATATTTACAGTACTGAGTTAAAATGGTGAAATATACTCACGCAACGCTTTTCTTTGTATGACAGTTACTCGCAACGTTCCTTCTAAGACGGGGATGCAAGTGCGCAAGTCATGGCGTCTTCTGAGTAACAATTGGGTTGGCTAGGGAAAACCGGAAGGGGCAGCGAGTCTCGGAAACCATCCATAACAGACATTAAATTTATAAGCTTCCAAAAGCATGGGACCCTGAGAATCATGCGCGGGAGTGTAACAGGCAGTGTACGGCCGCGCACGCGCGGAGCTTAGGGAGAACACCGGTTATCTGCATTCATGTACATCTTGTAAAATAAAGCTTCGACTCAACAATCCTGATGTTTCAGTTACACAATCATCGATGATTTTCGAATGCTGTGCTAACCAAGGAAGAAGCTTGAAGAGTTTGGAGCCAGATTTCGAAGTGTAGGTCAGCAGACACAGCTTTCGACCAAAACTGCAGGAATGGAAGACGGCTAAGAAGCTAGTCTACTGCCTTACAATATATTACACAGGTTCAAGCAATTGTTGGTGACAATTATGAGAGATGAAAGAATTTCTGTAATTGTTTTTGCCGGGCAGTGCATGGAAAAAAAACTTGCATTTTTACTCAGTGTGTGAACAACAGCTCAAGAGCTGTTGTAACAGTTGAGTAACTAGTTGAGCAGTAACAATCCGAAACGAACTTCTTAACTGTCCCTTCACGACCAGCAGATTGTCGTGTGTTACACGAACAGTCCACTGAGACTGTGACGCAGAGCGACATTTCAATGATAACAGATTTGTTAATTGCGTACTGCCCAGATTTTAGAGTGGCCAATGGTCACACGATTGTGAATGATAGGTCAGAAACTGTGCACATAAGGCGTAGCTCATGGTAAGGCAGTACGAGAGTGGCTGAGGGAAAGCTTGAAAAAATTCAGTCAAGTCTTCAGATCGAAATCAAAGAAAATTCCTACAGAATACGACAGACTTCACCGAAACTTTCATGCAGACGCAATGGCTGAGTCAGAACGCCGACAAGGCTTCGGGCTGGACGACCGGAGAATCGGAGCTTGATTTTCAGCAGAGACAGACAAACCAGCTCTGGAGCGCACCCAGACCCATGTCCACCGGGTAACTTGGGTTCTTGTGAAGCTAACCACTCGCATCAATGTAGAGCTGAAGTTAAGACTGTGAGGAGTTATGCCTCCACTTCCCATGATTTTATTGCTGGAACAATTTTATCTTTTAACTTTACAAGCAACATTGAAAATATTAATTTCAGTCATACTGTGCCAGCATGAGAAGCTATTTAGCCTGAACGAGGTACGAACTGGGAGTTAGAAATATGGAGACACGGCGAAGCGACTTGCTTACAGATGTATGTAGTACTGGCCACTTTCTATGGAAAACCACGAAACCCTGTGCTGGCAGTTGGAGGCGATCCTCTGCTAGGAAAGCGATTTCGAACTGGGTTATTTCAAGCGTCGCGTCCTTTACAGAGGTCTGGGGACTTCAGCTGAGGCACTGCAAACGCGTCAGCAGTGACAAGCTAGAAATGAAATGACACCGCTAATATGATGTGCAGGTGCCCTGTGTTGAATTGCGCAGCGCGTCAGGTAGACGTATGGGTAACTGGAGGTATCGCTCCACATATTAGCACAAACTTCATGTCTAGCTGCATGTGGGTGGTCAGGGTCGGGTCGGGTAAATGGCTGCTGGTCCTCGCCAACACAGGCATTCTTTGTTCCGGGGCCCTCCGAATCCATGACCATATTTTTCTCTGCCACGACAATCTGAATGTTGGGCTTCACGATCCGGTCGCTTTGTCAGAAGAAATCGCCCCTCGTTGTGCCCATTGTCTAGGGGGCTCAGTGACCCCACAATCGAAGTGGTCAATGTTGAGAAGGCAGTATTTCTTCCCCTTGCTGAAAATCGAAATCCGTCTCCTCGATCTTCCAGCCTTCAGAGTGTTCAGCGTACTGAGTTATTCTGCAGTGTCCCACAATTTGCTTGAACAGAAGAAAATAACCACGAAGTGTTAGTGAGAATCTGTGGTTAGATTCGAGTGGCAGAACTACTGGAAACGTTCACTCATATTTCTTTAAGTCTCTTGGAATGAGTCACTACCCCTCACTCCATCAACCTTTCAAATCGTGTTTTGTTCGACTCTTCATAAATTTAGCACACATGATGGCGCTGTCAGGTGGCCTAATAGTGAACCAACCGAATTCTTTCGTGCTTTGCTTTGCGCTGATAGTAGCTAGACTATACGGCGTCAGCTGAAACGTTTGCTGATTGTAAAGGATTCGGGATGATGCTGTCGTCGCCCAGT